CAACAACGTGCACAGAGGGTTGCACATCAGGCTGAAGGGCAACCTGTGGATATGGATAATGCTTCAATTATAGCTACTTTTCCAGCTGATTTGCGTGAAGAGGTTTTGCATCCTGAACTCCTGGACTTCATACTTGTGTTAGTATGCTTAATTCATGTTGTTTGCTTGTTCGTAGGTGCTATTGACGTCTTCAGAGGCAGTTCTTTCAGCATTGCCCTCTCCGTTGCTTGCTGAAGCACAAATGCTCAGGGATAGAGCTATGAGTCACTATCAGGCTCGTAGTTTGTTTGGAAGTAGCCACAGAATCAATAACCGGAGAAACGGCTTGGGATTTGATAGGCAGACAGTAATTGATAGGGGTGTTGGTGTTACAATAGGACGAAGAACATCTTCTGCTCTTCTTGAAAGGTTGAAAATGAAGGAAGTTGAGGGGGAGCCGCTTTTAGATCCTGATGCATTGAAAGCGTTGATCAGGCTCCTACGATTAGCGCAGGTACACTTCATCTACTCCCTTAGTTTGTATTTATGTTTTGTTATGAAAGCGTCTTTAACAATCCTTTTCGTTTTCTAAATGCTCGATACTGAGAATAAAACCTGATGCAAGTGTTTTTATTAATTGTTTTCTAGTCAAACTATCAAGTGAAATATTATGAAAGAAAAACTACTCGATCCATTGATGCTGATGGATGCTATATAATGCTTATTACATCATCCAACCTTCTTTCTATTGTCTGATTTTTGTTTGTAAGAGCAACTAATTAACGTAATACCATTTGGAAAAACAACTGATTCTTTTTGTTTTTCAAAATCACGTCGCAACTTATAGTGTCTTAGATAATTGTTAGAGTTGAAGCTCTTCTTCCATTTCTCTCTAATTGTGTCTCATGTCCATTTATCATCACATCATGGTGACTGAAAGACGGAATTGAGGAATGAAAATGACTGAACTACAACCTTGGTTTGAGCTCATTTTGAGCTTGAAGAAAACTTCATTAGAGGACGCCAATTTTGATATTTAGGTTATTTAGTCTTTGAAATATATAGAACACATTCAGTTTAGAGTTTCACCATTTTCACTTCTTGCTGTCAGCCCCTTGGGAAAGGCCTTCTGCAAAGACTTTTCCTGAACTTATGTGCTCATAGTTGTACAAGGGCAATTCTTGTTTTTCTGCTACTGGACATGATCAAGATGGAGACTGAAGGCCCTGTAGGTGGGTTGACAACAGTAAATTCTCAGAGGCTTTATGGGTGTCTGTCTAATGTTGTTTATGCCCGGTCACAGCTCTTAGATGGTACGGTTTCCTTTTAACATGACACTCATTTTTGTTTGAAAATTTAATATTTGTTGATGTTGATGCTAGAGAGTTGTTCATTTACAGGTCTTCCACCTCTAGTACTGCGTCGGGTCCTTGAAATTTTGACGTACTTGGCTACAAATCATTCTTCTGTTGCTAATTTGTTGTTCTATTTTGATTCTTCACTTGTTCCGGAATCCTTGAATCTCAAATACCATGATAGGAAGAATGATAAGGGAAAAGAGAAAGTTATTGAAGGAGGAGACATCTCTCGTCCTGTTGGATTGGAGGGTGATATTCCTATGTTATTGTTTGTAAAGCTCTTGAATCAGCCGCTTTTCCTTCGCAGTATTGCTCATCTCGAACAGGTATTTTGGTCCATCTATATTGTTGTTGTCTTTCAGGCTTTCACTTGTACTGGGTTGTAGTGCTGTTGTTGGGTTTAACATCCATCGTATCATATAAATGTTGCAGGTCATGGGACTGCTTCAAGTKGTTGTATACACTGCTGCTTCAAAGTTAGATTGTCAATCGCAAGCTGAACAAGCAGTGACCAATTCCCAAGGTCTGCCTGGCAATGAAGCTGCTGATCATCCTCAAGGAGATTCTTCCTCAGCAGGAGCAGAACCTAGTCAGGATGATAAAAGTGTCGGTGATGGATTATCTACGTCAGATGACCAGAAAAGCGTCAATATGCATGATATCTTCATGAAGCTACCACAAACTGATCTGCATAATCTATGCAGCCTTCTTGGTCATGAGGGGTAATATTATGATTCACTTCTTAATTTTTTCGATTGTATCCACCATTTGTTTTGAAATGAGCATTTTCTTTCAAAATGATTATTTTTCATTCTTACTATTTTACCCTCTAGTTGTCTAATGTACTGCAAGCGAGTTATCATAGATTGTTTTGACTAGGAATATAAATTGTAGGGTCTGAGTCTTGTGATGTACAAGGGATAATCCGGGGCTTTACTATGCATGAAAAATTCAGTTGTTTTGGGTTCTTGCTTGGGATACCCAGAACGTTGCTCCCTGATACTTTTGTGTGCTTTTCTTGCATTTGATTAGTAGCATTAATTGGCCCCCATATTAACCGCTTAAATTCAAGTCTGAAATGATTATTTGTTAGATGTTGCATTACTTGAGAGGTTGACACCTTAATAATTTGTCCACTAGGCTATCAGATAAAGTGTACCTGCTTACTGGGGAAGTTCTAAAGAAGTTGGCCTCAGTTGCTCCCTCGCATCGGAAGTTCTTTATTGTAGAGCTTTCAAATTTAGCTCATAGTCTGAGCAGTTCCGCCATCCGAGAACTCATCACGCTAAGAAACACACATATGCTGGGTTTGAGTGCTGGATCCATGGCTGGGGCTGCTGTTCTAAGAATCCTGCAGACACTTAGTTCTCTCACTGTATCTGGTGTTGATGGCAGTAAGGATGTGAAGAATGATGACAATCAGGAGCATGTTACCATGTGGAAATTAAATGTTTCACTTGAGCCTTTGTGGCAAGAATTGAGTGAGTGTATAAGTGTGACAGAAACACAGCTGACCCATAGCTCTTTTTCTTCGGTTATGTCAAATGCCAATGCGGGAGAGCATGCTCAGGGTTCTTCATCTCTATCTCCTCCTCTCCCCCCTGGAACTCAGAGGCTTTTGCCTTTCATTGAGGCCTTTCTGGTCCTCTGTGAAAAGCTTCAAGCAAACAATACTCTTTTGCAGCAAGATGATGCCTATGCAACCGCAACAGAAGTGAAGGAGTTCTCTGGAAATTCATCACCAAATGGGGTGGATTCTCAGAAGTGGATTGATGGTGCTGTGACATTTGTGAGGTTTGCTGAGAAGCATCGGCGGCTTTTGAATGCTTTTGTCAGGCAAAATCCTGGCTTGTTGGAGAAGTCACTTTCTATGATGCTGAAAGCTCCGCGGTTAATTGATTTTGACAACAAAAGGTCTTATTTCCGTTCTAGAATCAGGCAGCAGCATGATCAACACTTAACAGGACCACTGCGGATAAGTGTTCGACGGGCATATGTTTTAGAAGACTCCTACAATCAGTTGCGAATGCGACCCACTCAGGACTTAAAAGGTCGTTTAAATGTTCATTTTCAAGGCGAAGAGGGTATTGATGCTGGTGGTTTGACAAGAGAATGGTATCAATTGCTGTCGAGGGTAATATTTGACAAAGGAGCTTTGCTTTTTACCACTGGAGGAAACAATGCAACCTTCCAGCCAAATCCTAATTCTGTTTATCAGACAGAGCATCTTTCTTACTTCAAATTCGTGGGCCGTGTGGTATCTCCCAAAGAAACACTTATCTTTTTCTGTTTAAATTTAATAAAACTTAATCCATTCCGTTGCTGTACAATGAGGTTCTAAATTCCTGTTACAGGTTGCTAAAGCTTTGTTTGATGGGCAACTGTTGGATGCTTACTTCACCCGATCTTTCTACAAACATATCCTTGGTGTGAAGGTAACATATCATGATATAGAGGCTGTTGATCCTGACTATTACAAGAACTTGAAGTGGTTGCTGGATGTAAGTATGCTCGAAGATATGGTTTATGCTTCTATATTATTAACGCAGTTTTCTACTATGGTTCCTATTCCTTCTCTATACTTAGGTTTGTTTCCTGTCACTGTTTCTTGTATCAGAACGATGTAAGTGACATCCTCGACCTTACATTTAGCATGGACGCTGATGAAGAAAAGCACATCCTCTATGAGAAAACAGAGGTATGTGAGGATTGGTATATAAATTTGATGTTCTAAAATCATATAGGATTGCATAGTGGCTGTTTGGTTGGTTTTCCATCAAGTCCTGTATGGATTAATCTGTCTGTGTAGATTTGGAAGGTTTATGTTTGGGAGGGTGTCTGATAAATGGAACGGGCATGTTTTTAAATCGGGAAGGGCAGTTTGGAAAAAAAAAACTTATTTTTCTGCATAAAGCTTCCCCCTAGAAGCTTACTGAATAAGCCACTTCTTATATTATCAAGCCAATACCAAACAGTCATATATAGCTGACCGAATTAGTTGGAGTCCCATTAAGCTCATTAAGCTGCTAACAAACAGACCCTGAAGAAATTGTCATCAACTTTAGTATTGAAATTTGGTTGGACTATTCCTTTCGGATTGATGGTTTGCCTTTTTCTTTAAATGGGAAAAGGTTAGCGATTATGAGCTCAAACCGGGTGGACGGAATATACGGGTAACGGAAGAAACAAAGCACGAGTATGTGGATCTTGTTGCTGAACATATATTAACAAATGCGATACGACCTCAAATTAATTCCTTTTTGGAGGGTTTTAATGAGTTGATACCACGTGACCTCATTTCTATTTTCAACGATAAAGAGCTTGAGTTGCTGATCAGTGGACTTCCAGAAATCGATTGTGAGTTAGCTTACTTGTGCATTTAAAACATGTGGTAACTAGTATTTTCAAGATTAATAATAAGGTAACCAACCGGTTGTTATTGCAGTGGATGATCTGAAGGCCCACACTGAATATACCGGATACACAGTTGGTTCTAATGTTGTTGTGTGGTTTTGGGAGGTTGTGAAAGCATTTAACAAGGAAGATAGGGCGAGATTACTTCAATTTGTGACGGGTACATCAAAGGTATGATGTTGTTATTACCAGTGATCTTGTACCAGTAACATTAAGATGATAGGGTCAGGTTCAAGGGAAAACGGTAAAAATGAAGAACTTAAGAAAACCCTAGTAAACATTCATCTGTCGGTATGCACATGTGCATACAAGTAATTTGTAAATAATTTTTTCAGTACGCACATGTGCATAACGTACACGCATGCATAGAAATTGGGAAACATCTTCAGTTGCTTGTATGCACATATGCATATCGTACAGATCAATGGTTATTAGGGCATTCCTAAGTCTTTTTTTTTTTTTTTTGGTGGGTTTCCCCTCAACCTTATTCTAAGATGATATGTTAGCTACTAGTAATTTGTTGTATGCTAGTATCATACGCCCTCTATCCCAAAAATAGATATCCACAATGAAGAAGGCATGCAATTTTAAGAAAGTATAATCATTGTTCTTTTTAATTTACTAAATGACTGTTTTACCTTGATGATGAAGGGAGTAAATAATTTATAATCTCGTAATTAATGATACAATTGGAAAGTAATAGTTACCTTTCAAAGTGGACACTTATTTTGGTACAGTTACATAGAAATGTGACTTATTTTTGGGACATATGGAGTATCTGTACAACACTCATTTCTTAAATGACTATTTTACCTCGATGGTGAAGGGAGTAAATAATTTCTAATCTCGTAATTAATGATATGATTGGAAAGTAAATAGTTACTTTTCAAAGTGGACATTTATTTGGGACAAACTTAAATGGAAATGTAGACACTTATTTTGGGACGAATGGAGTATCTAAGTAAGTGGTTGTTTGGTTGGTTTTCCATTAGATCCTGTATGGATAAAAGTCTGTCTGCATTAATCTATTTGTATAGATTGAGAAGGTTTTTGTTTGGGAGGGTTTTTTATAGGTGGAATGAACATGTTCTTTAATTGGGAGGGACAAGTTCGGAAAAAACTTGGCTTTTCGCATAAAGTTCCCCCTAGAAGCTTACTGAATAAGCCACTTTTTATATTATTAAGCCACTACCAGACAGTCGTATATAGCAGACCGAATAAGCTGTGAGTGCCATTAAGTTCATTAAGCTGCTAACGGACAAGCCCCACCTTATTTCATTGTATCACTAACCTCATACACGTATGTATTACTTAGGTTCCTTTGGAAGGTTTTAAAGCATTGCAAGGTATATCTGGTCCACAAAGATTTCAAATTCACAAAGCTTATGGAGGTCCAGAGAGGCTGCCATCGGCTCATACCTGGTTTGTGTTTTCTTAGTTTGGTTAGCCGTGACTCGAGCATTAGATTGTTTTATTTACGTTTACGTCTTTTTGCAGTTTCAACCAATTAGATCTTCCCGAATACCCGTCAAAAGAACAGCTTCAGGAACGATTACTACTTGCTATCCACGAAGCTAATGAAGGGTTCGGGTTTGGATAGAGATATCGGGCTGGTTGCTTCACTTTATTTCAGCCATTCTTCATCTATCGACTAAAGGGAACTCACAATCATGTATTCTCCATATCCTTATGCCGTAAAACCGTTGTTTTGGTATGTGGCTAACGACTGATCTATTTTGTTTCTGGGTTTTCAGATTTAAGAATTTGAAGAGCGAGAAAAGATGGTGTTTTTGGTCATGTGGAAATGCAATGCCGTCTTCTGGGTTTGTTTTCGGACTAGAATAAAACAGATGAAACTTGAAAACAGGAAAAGATCGACAGGCTTCATGTAAATCGTAGCTTTTTTTGGTTGGTTCGTAGCTCTTAGCTGATTCGGTTTTGTGATTCATGTTACCAAGTATTTGAAGCTTTTAGAAAACCTTCCATTTCTATCTTTGTTTTCTTTGCACACCAGTTAAACCCAAAAGCCTGCGTACCAATAACTAATGGAGTACCACGCCGTAGTAACTAATGGAGTATCATGCCGTAGAGATGGCCAAAATTGGCCCGGTCTGGCACGGGATTGGCTTAGGAGTCGGGACCGGTTATGTTTTTTTACGAAAATTCGAGGCCCGCTCAGACCGGTTTTGATGGGGGGTGGGGATATTATTTTGGAGGTGAAGTGGTTTTAGCAATGAAACCATATACCCACCATTTAATCTAAAGAAATGCTTATAGAATAAGAAAAAGAATTGTGTAAGAAAGAGAAGTTATAGTTAAAGGTATAATAATATATCTGAATCTTTGATCACTTTTAATTTTATGATCATCTATGAATATTTATTTATTTATAAACCGGGTCAATTGACGTCAACATCATCACTACGAAAAGCCCAGGTAAAGGAGAGACGGATAGGCTAATGATTGATTAGGAGAGCGAGACCCACTTCTCATTCTTTGCAGCAATTCGTTCTTATCTAGAGATGATCGAAACGAGAACTTATGACCTTGCGGATGGAGAGGGATTCGAACCTCCTAACTGGATTGATTGTCTGTTTTGTGTTTGGTAAGCTGGACAGAACGGGACTAAACTGATAAAATGACCAGATTACCTTTGTTTAATAGTTTTTATTATGTGATAACATTCGATGGCATCCTCTTGAGGTTTAAAGATCCAAACCTTTTTCTTAGCGGAACTATAAATAACATAAATCAACTAAATGTTTGAGTAAATCTATTCGTAAAACTTAGAATAAGTTACATAAATCGTATCTTTTATAATTTTATCACGGTAAAATTATTTAAAATATTTAACAGACCATTTTAGAAAAACTAAACAATAAAATAAATTAAACAAATCCCCACCACGCACCCCCAAAGCCTCCGTACGATCATTAAAAAAAGCCTAGTTCATTTTTATCCTCTTCAAGTAGTCACTGTGAAATTAGTTTTTTCAGGTTATTTTTACTTCTAGGTTCTTCTGTTCCACCATCAATACATCTGTTTTCAGGTTCTTCTTCCACCACCACCACCCATCTCCTAGACTCCTACTTATTGATCTTCAAATGTATATCTGGACGCTGAGGGACGAAGAGGTTCGATTTGAGAGGGTTCGGCCTGAGAGTTTGATTTCAGACATGGATTAGGAGGAGTTCGATTTCAAACATAGATCAAGAGGAGTTCGACATGAGAGTTCGATTTGAACGAGTTTTAGGTTTAAGATTTCGGATTTCGGATTTGGAAGTTTGGGGAATTTTAGGTTTCAGATTTGAGAGTTAAATTTGAGAGTCCAAGGTAATTAAATTTGAGAGTCCAAGATTTGAGAGTTAAATTTGGAAGAGGGTAATTAAGTAATTTTAACTTTAGTCCAAGGTTGTTCCACCTCTTTTGATGGAACAAAAAAAACTCTAATTTTGTCCCATGAAATGAGTTCAGTTCCATCTTGTTCCATGTCGTCTTTGTCGTGTGTCATGCCAAACATGAGACTATTTTTTTTGTCTTGTATTGTCCTGTCCCACCCTATCTACACACTAAACGCAGTCTAAAGGGAATAGATAGTCTGGGGTCAAAGCAACTTCATCACTTCCGTGGGTACATCAGACAACAACCCCGAATACACTGCCGTGAATTATAATGGATAAGAGCCTCGTGGGATTGATGTGAGGGGCCAAGTAGACCTCTGTTAGTTCTTCTTTTGTGAATTTCATTTCTGGATTCACGATAAGCAACTCCTTACGAAGGGTATTTGGCGCTTTCCAAAAGCCTTTGTGGCACTAGTGGTACATACAAGTCATGGATGATCATTGGTCGATGCTTTGGCGAAACCTATTCCCAATGCGTTCTAGAAAGGAATTGATCAGGTGCATTTCGGTGCACCTCATTAGTGTTGACATCCAATTATGATTTATTCAAGGATGAAGATATTTGTTCTTACGTTTTTCATTATAACTTCCCTTATTATCAGAAACTCAACCCTACAAAATAAAGTGATGAAAATACCACCATATTTCGGTATTAAAATGCATGGTCAGTTCCCTTAATTGTATGCTTATCAAATTAATTTATTTTCGATGTTTTGAAAATAGAAACCAATTCATAATACCTTTCATTTTAATACAATTTGTCGAAAAAAATGCAAGTATAAAAGCGACGTTCCATAGAACTCAAAACCATGTGACTACTTATCTTTATAAATTTTTTTAACCAGTTTTCAGAACTGCTTATGCTCACCAGTTCAGTGACGGACCTATAGTGGTGCATATGGTGGCACGTGCCATCGTATTATTCCTACGTCGAAGGGTAAAAAAATTTAGGTTCATGAAGGTGCAACCGTATTAATCTGTTGTGTGCCATCGTATGTATTTTGAAATTATAATGAGAACAAATTTTATTTGGTAAAATTTTATTCCACCCCAGACCCAAGTTTTTCTCAGCCAAATGGTGCCACCGATTGAAAAAAAATATCGTATATTTGTTTTTTATAGTCAAACGGTACAGCCAAATAGTGCCACCGATTGAAAAAAATATCATATATTTGTTTCTTATAGTCAAACGATACTATCATTTGAATTTTTTTTCCTATAATTTTTTCTTATACTCAAATGATACCACCGTTTGAATTCTGGGTCCGTCCCGCACCGGTGAATGAAATAAAATTGCAAGGCCATTTTTAGGGTTAGACGGTTTGAAATTAAACTCAAAGAAAAGATACCGTTCCGTTACAAACGTCTCCCTTTGACCTTTCCATCCTCACTCCGATTATTTCTCACAGATTTCTCTCTCCACAGCACCAGTGAATCAGTAATCTCTTCAAGTATATCTCCTGGAAATTCATGTCGGTAAGAATCGAATCCAAACTCGTCTGATTCCTTTTTTCTATGTATGTTACTTTTTGATCATAACTCATGGCTCTGGATCGATCGATTTTGTGGTTGTTATGTTGGTACAGGGAATCATTCGATTTGATCGGTTGTTTTCGAGTGTAATACTTGTACAGTCGAGTTTTAATCATGATTTTGCACTTATTTTTTTCTTTTGATCAATTTAGGGATTTTGTTATTATGTTATCGATCATTCAAATTAATTCCTAATTTGGAATCATCAAGGCTTTGTGTTTTTACTTTTTCGTTTTATTTCCTCTTCCATTCTGTTCACGATTAGAATTGCAAATATTATGGATGTATGTTGTGGATAGTGGTGGACTTGAGGTTGAGGAAATGGTGTGTTTTTAGAATCAGTAGGATTCTAATGGACTCAAAAGTTATTTGGTGCTGGTTAAACTAATTATTCATCTAATTTTAAGATGTGTTTTTGGCTGGGTTTCCTTCCAAAACACACAGGTCACCCCCCCCCCCCCCACACAAACACACACACACACACCAACTAACTATTGGCTCTTATAAGGCTTGAACTCCTAAACCTGAAGGTACTTGAGAAGGGCTGGTACAATGGGGTCAAGTGCCTCTATGATTTCCTTGTTTTCTCGGCTTTTTTGTTGTTACAATAGGTATGTATTTTGTGGATGTCTGGATAAGGATATCTATGTTCAAGTGAATCACATCTGTTGCTGACTTTCATATTCTTGTTTGTGCATGTGATCATGCATTTTATAACTAAAAATTTGAAGTTCTTTCCTAATTGTTGTTTTAAGCTTAGTTTCTTGTTGTTTTGGCAGGAGGAGAAGGGTAGGCCATTGCCGAAGTTTGGAGATTGGGATGTTAATGATCCTGCTTCAGCTGAGGGTTTTACTGTGATTTTTAATAAAGCCAGGGATGAGAAGAAGACAGGTGGTAAGACAGAGTCGCCAACAAATGTAGATCCTGGTTTTAAGCAAGCCAGTGCCCCTGTAAAGAAACCTCCAGCTGTAAGTGACCCCTTAATTTTTTTTCTCTTATAGATGGATTTAGTTTCTTTTGTTATAGTTCTAGTTATTAAATCTTATGATTGCGGTACCAAGAGTTCTTTCCCTGATTGTATGTGGCAGCAACCCCCAAAAATGGGTAGCCAATTTGGCGTTGCCGCATTGGACAGTCTCTCTTTCTTGAGGGCGTGAAAGGGATGGAAGAAAGGTTTTGTATTATGCCTAGAAGAAATGGCGATGCAGCACTAAAATACACACGCATGCACTTATATACAGTCCGTATGGCTTGTACCATTATCCAAGTACATATTCATAACCATTTATCCCTCCGTCCCATGATTAGAAATCAACCTTATACTTCGGATAACATGACTAGAAATCAACCTTATACTTCGGATAGCGAACCCTATGCTTCCAAATGGAACAGGTTGAAACTTAGGTTTGAAGTTCTTTAGTTCAAAGCTTTTATTTTGTATAAAGCTTATTGCTTTATACAGTTATCAACTTTTCTTTATGACCACACAAAATTTCTCTAAAGTTAGCCATACCACACTCAAAAGTTAAAGGTTCATAGTGTAAGTGGAGGAAGTAGTATTCAACGTTGTACTTGATTGGACGTGTAAAAGTTTACCGCAAATTTAGTATAAGCTGTGTCAAGGAGACAAAGGGTCCTATTTCTGCTCTTTCAACAATTTACTATCTTTCAAAAATGTGTGTGTGTGTAAATATTTCAGAAAACTTAGCAGTTGTGCAACCAATTCCTACTTCCAAGTTCCAATAGCTGTTTTGCTTTAGTTTTTGGAACAATCAAGCGCATTTTTCCTGTACTGTTTAACCCCTATATTGTTTCTATTCCCCTCCATTTTTACTGATTTTCCCCTTTTATCGAGCTTTTACGCCATGTTCTTGAATTTGGGGATAAAAAATATGGATGGAAAAGAATGCGAGGGAAAAGAAAGGAAATAATTTTTTTGTGTTCGTGGAAAGGAAGGAAAGGAAAGAAAAATAAAAATTTTCATGTTCTTGACCAGGAGAGAAATGAAAGGAAAGATGTGATTTTTACAAATATATCCTTTATAATGAAATGTTAGGTAGTTTTGTAATTTTAATGATCTTTTAAGGGTTTTAATTTCTTTCCAACCTTTCCTTCCCTTCCTTTCCACACTTGGAAGCAAAGTTTTGGGAGGAACCTTCTCATTATTTTCGTTCCGTTCCTTTTATGAAGTTTCAAGAACACACGTCTTTTTTCCTTTCCTCCCTTTTCCCTCTCTTTCATTTTCTTTGTAAAAAGCGTTTCGACAATACATCATAAAAAAGCTCGGCCTTTGTTTGTTAGTCTTTGCAAGATTTGATTTTTTACTTTGACCTTCAACCTTCTGGTTTGCAGAAGAAATGGTTTTGCTGCATGCAAGCACCGCATGCGGAATCTTGACGAAATGATGAACAGGATTTCCCGCCCCACCAACTTTTAGTTTCATCTTGATCTTGTGTATTATATATGGTGGGGGAAAAAGGGGCCGGAAATGGAAAAACGAAGACTTCTCCTAAATGTGTCGTGTCGTGTCTGTCTATATACAGATTTTGACGTTCCTTGTGTCTTTCTTATGTGTGTGTTGTATGTTTGCTGCTGTTATGAATCAAAAGCAAGGGTCATGTGTAGTTGTTTCGACCAATTTGCTTTGGTTTGGTTCGGTTTTACCATCGGAAACTTAAACCGATTTTGCGATTGATTTGAGGCTTTATGTTCTGATGGTATTACTATTACTATTAGTAATAGGGATGCTAAGTCAAGGCCCAGATGTTGGAACGAAATCCTGAGTGAAAATGAACAAGTTTTCGGATGATAAAACTTTTTTGCAATTTAGTTGCGGTTTTTTACTTATTTTTATTTGTCAAATTCTTACTGTTAACTAAGGAATGATCTAATAATCGTTCATTTGAATGATATACATATGTATATTTAATTAATCAAAGATGTTTCATAGTTTCTAATTTTCTATGCACGTGTGAATGTTATGAACATGTGCATACCGGAAAAGTTACTTATAAATTACTTGTATCCATAATGTACAGATGAATGGTTACTAGGGTGTTGCTTAGGGTTTGTTTGGTTCATGTTGAAGAATGAGAATGAGAATGAAAATTGAGAACGAATTTTCATTCCCCCTAGTTTAACCATGAATGAAATTTTGAGGGAATGAGTCCATTATATTGTAGAAAACCTAACAATTTCTTTTATTTTCATTTCCATTGATTACTGCTTAATATCTCTAACGAAACATCACCTTAGATTTTATGTTTTTTAATTTTCCCATGAACTTGACCATATATGTGTGTGTAGGGTAAGGTTCACGGGAAAACGGTATAAATGATAAAAAATTGAATAACATCCTAATAACCATTCATCTGGAGTTTATCTGATATGTGTAGGTGCATAACATGCAGACGTATATAGAAACTAGAAAACATCTTCAATTACTTGTATTTATATGTGCATACCTTTCAGAAAAATAGTTATTAGGGTGTTCTCGATTTTTCATTTTTTTGGATATATATATATATATATATATATATAGAGAGAGAGAGAGAGAGAGAGAGAGAGAGAGAGAGGCATATTCAAGGAAGAACTGACTAGTTTGTGGTAACCGTGAGATCCAATCTCAACCATAAATCAATAAACGACTCTCAGTGTGATACCCAAACACATATAAGATGCATTGTGATACCATTATGTAACATCTCCAATCGACCACACAAACGACCTTCAGTGTGATACCCAAGCACATATAAGGTGAATTGTGATACCATTGATTTCAATTCAATTAATCAGATTTGGCGATGATGAGGGTGGTTTTTTGATTGGGTTTGAATCGGATCTGGTGAGAAGATAGAAAGATAAAGGAATTTGGGGGTTTCACAGTAAGATAGAGAGAAAGAGAGAGAAGACTTCAATGCAAAATTGGAATTCTAAACTAATTAAAGTAACTTGAAATCATATTAATTTACTAAGAAATAATGTTTACTAATTTACCCTTATATTTATTTTAAGAAATCATATTAATTATCTTGAATGATTGGTCCACGTTGGATCTCACGGTTACCACAAACTAAATAATTCTTATTTGATTAGGCTCTCAAACACACACACACACACACACACACACATATATATATATATATATATATAGAGAGAGAGAGAGAGAGAGAGAGATAGGTCATTTAGGAACTTTAAAATTTTTAGGACCACCTGTTTGTGAATATTTATAATGAATAACGTTATAAAATATTCATGATAAATAATATTCATTACATATACTCATAAAATAGGTGGTTCCTGGATTTCTAAAATTGTAAGATTTCTAAATGAATCTGCCCCTTTATATAAATATATGTTGATAAAGATACAATAAAAAGATCATTTTATGTGAAAAATAATGAACTAATCTGTAAAAACTATAGACTCCTAAAGCACACATCAGGGCATCCCAATATACAACACTAAATTTTATACCAAATCTATAAAAATTGTTGTAAACAAAAAATCTACTTCATTGGGTAACATTTACACCAATATGCTTTGGTTTTTCCAGTGTACACTTTATGGTATGCTCAAGCCAATGTAACTTCACTATCACAATATAACGATATAGGCGACATAGGTTTCAGTCACGAAGGTACCTGATACAAGAGTTCCTAAGCCATTCAGCTTCTTTCCATGCACATGCTAAGGCGATGAGTTGTTATAAGTGAATCCGCAAGACAAGTCTGTTTCTTGAATCCCCAGAAACCACACCCCTACCAAGAGTGAAAATCCATCCACTTGTGAACGAATGATCACTGTTAGAAATCCAACTTGCATATGAAATCCAAGGTAGATTGTCTTCTTTAGGTATTTAAGTATTGTTTTAATAACTGAATGCATGCCAATATGCATGACTTGGATACTGAGGTTTTAATAAATGAATGATCAAATGTTGCCACTAAATTTATAGTATATATATTTGTCTGTATCATTAAAGTGAAAATCATTACCTAGCACAATTTCATCCAAAAATTTATGCCATTTTTTGGGAGTTTGCTTAAGTTTGTACAATGACTTGATCAACTTATAAACCCTTTTTTTTGGGTAATTGTGAATTTCCAGACCAGTTTACGTGTATCGACTAATCTTCTGGACGATCAGTCATCGCATGTGAACCTCCATGACAACAAGAGGTTTATCAACTTAGAAACCTTGTGCTCTTGACCTGGAATTATAAACCCTTCAGATTATTTCAAGCATACCTGATAATCTAATTCACCATTTATAAAAGTTGTTTTGACATCCCTTTAGTTAAATGGCCATATTACAAATAGAGGCTAATGCAATCTACACCCTGACCGTTGTTGTTCTTGCAACTGAAGCATATGTGTCGAAATAAATCGATACCCTCCTTTTTGGGTATAACCTTTGGCTACTAACTGAGCCTTGAACCTGTCAATTGTTCCATCGACTATCATTTTCTTCTTGAAATCCACTTGCAACCTATGAGTTTACAAACCAGAGGTAAATCATTTGACTTCCAAACTTTATTACCAATGATTGAGTATATCTCGTCATCAATGGTTTCCTTCCAAACGCATGCATCCAGAGACTTCATCACCTCCTCAAAGGTGACAACAATGTCCATTTGATAATAGAAAGGGACGTACGTTCTTGACCATAAAGCCCTATGTTTAACCTTTCAGGTCGCGAGGCCTAAGGATAGATATGACATGATTCTCATAACAAATTGCATCCCTTGATTCAATAGTGGTATTAACGACGTAATGATAGAAATGCTATCATCGCTACCTTTTGTTGTCACCGGTTGTCGTTGTACATGGTATCCACCATCTCTACTGAACTTCAGGTCTCAAAATAATAACTAATTAGTCTCGATTTATAGAATTTAATTACAACAGTGGCAACCACCTTCATTATTTGCCAACAACGGGTTTGGTTATCAATTAGTTTTATGAAGTTCAAAAAGTTATAAGAACTTGTACGTATGCAACAATTACTTGTAAACACTAAAGTTACGGGATATACATCGATAAATATTATTGTTCAACAAGTTGTTTCTAAAACTTTTATTTAAATGTTATATAATATGGTATAACACGAACCAACCTGCTTTTGAGGGGTAGGGGTCACTTTCTCGGCTGGGAGCCTTGGTTTCTTTATGGTGGATGACTGGATGTGGTTCGCCCCCACCCGAGTGCTTAAGCTGTCGTTGTTAGCGTTTTTGGTTCATCTCATTTTGTTCACGAACAAAGTTATTCTATGATTTTGTCTTTGCCGATTGTTGGCTTTATAAAAAGATGCAAATTTCATTTATCTTGCTAATTACTATGTTTTTGAATTTGTTTATGTAAATTATCATATGCCTACGACATGTGTCACACAACAATACTGCTAAAGGGTATGTAAATTTATAGGGTCGCACACAAAGAATGTGTTTGCTTCCATTTGAAAGTAACCCAAAAGTCATGATTGACAGTTAAATAATTATTCTTGAAGAATAATTACAGAATATGTATTAAAAAGTAATTATGATAATTACAGGGTATTATCTGTAAATAAACATAATTATTTAAAGTTTTAGATAATTATATAATTATTTACAGATAAATATCAAACCTTATTTAGAGTTATAAGGTGACTATGATACCAACATATATAAATAAGGTGTCAGGCCAATTCAGTTGAGTGGATTCAATTATTTGAATTTGGTTAATTAGTCCATATACACATATTTAGATTTAGGGTTCTTTTGGGCTAGCACCTGTCGGAGGATCTACGCGTGTTTGTGCGCCGCATCAAATTTTTCACTAGATCAAAGGTACATTCCTAAACATCTTATGGTGTTATAATTTAATTAAATGTTTCATTGGATCTGACTTTGGGTTTAAGATTTAGAAAAAGGTTTTTTTCCCCTAAATTATTGTACCAAACTTTTTTTTCCGCTGCATTTATGGTTAAAAGGTACAAATAAAACTCAACAGTTTAATTTCATGGTTAAACATTGCCAACATTCGACGACCCATTAATCAACAATCAGTGTCGTAATTCTCAGAAATTTTAGTGTTTTTGGATGATTTCGATATTTAAGTTCGGCCTTTTCTTTAAATGCTTGTTAATTTTGTCAAATTATACGTTCTCCACTGGCATTAAATGTGTTTTACTAGTGGTTTTTCAAATAACCCGAAAACTAAATAATCTGAAACTGCTTAATCCAAACCTCATTCAACTTCTGATTTTTTTTACATCCATAGGCGTGACTCTAATCACCTACTATCTCGTATCCGCTACAGATTAATGATAATTATCTTGTATTTAAATATTTTTATCAGTTGATTATAAGGATGATGATTTGCTCCGATCCGACGGAGAACCCGACTCACCCGACCCGAACGGAGATTCTCTGCTAAAACGGGTCCCGGGACTGGGGATCCCCAATAAACTCAAACCGGGTCTGAACCGGGATCCCCGGTAAACTCAAACTAACTGATATTTTTCGTGGGGTTTGATCGTGGATGAGATGTTAATCCTCGTACCCGCCGGAGACCAGGGACTGTTACTAAAAACCGGGGCCGAAGCCACGGATTACAAAACCCGCCCTGTTGCCATGCCTAGATGATTATCGGTTAGATTTATAAAATTTAAAAAAATTATGCTTGTAAAACAAGATACAAAATATATTATACAACAATTATAGAAAGAAAAGGTAGAGAAATACAAGTCCCCCCTCTGTATTTGCTGCATTTTTCTTTGTGAATCGTCCGGGGACGACAGTAGCTTCTTGCTTGAGTAATTCTCTGTTCTTCTCTTCCCTTATCCATCAATCAATATCAGCAAACCCTAATCCATGATCGCACAATTACTTTTTTCACTTTGATCAACAGTCGGCATAAGAAGAAAAAACCCTTGTCTCGAAAACCCTTGAATCCAACCATTTATTGATTGATTCTCTTAATTCAATAATCTGATCGATTTGCTTTGATGCCAATTGATTATATGTAATACTAATCGTACAATCAACGATTCTATCGGCTGTGTTTTTGTGGCCAATGCTATTTGTCAGGTTGATTTCAGGATGAAGTTGCGGAGAAGGAGGGCATCAGAAGTGGTTAGTGCACTTATTATTTTCTTCACTCTTTTTTTTATATCGGAACTTGTCTGATGGAGTGTGTTAGTTAGGGTTTATTCACTTTATGCCACCACTAGCAACTTTATCCATGGATGCATCAGCAATTCAGCATCAGTCTTTGATGATGAAGAATGAATTGAATTGGTATAATACTTCAAAATCCATGGACATAATTGAATTTGTAAGGAGCAATTGAACAAGTTATTTTCCCTTTTCTGGACACTTGTTTTAGAAGTACATGTGGTTGCATGAACTTGATATATGAGAGCCAGAAAATCTGGAAGCTTGCCCTGAATTATTGAATTCATTTTCGTTGTCATGGATTAATTGTGCTTTTAACTCATGCTATTATCTGATGCATCCCTGTTTTTTTCTGCACATTACTGATATGGTCAATCTCCCAAGCATAAATTTCTAGCCTATTTCTGTTCTACCAATGTTTTTGCATTTCCCTTTTGCTCGTTTCATATTATAATTGTATTCTGTAGGTATGATCTGTTATTAGAGTTTGAATTCTGTATAGTTTGACATGTTCAAACGATAATGATACATGTTATATGTTCCCCTTTATTGTGTATCAGCCTCCCAAAATTGGGTCCTTCATCAATGGTGTACTTGCTGCTCCGCTTGAAAGTATCGAAGATCCCTTGAAAAGCTTCTTCTGGGACTTTGACAAGGTATCTTTGCAATCCTATCTGATTTGCGATATAAGATTTGCTTGTATCTGGGTTGATGGCATGATTGTTGTTGATACAGGGAGACTTCCATCACTGGGTTGATCTATTTAACCACTTTGATACTTTTTTTGAGAAATACATAAAACCAAGGAAGGATTTGCAAGTTGAGGATGATTTCTTGGAGCTTGATCCTCCCTTCCCAAGGGAGGCTGTCCTGCAGATTTTGCGTGTTGTAAGGATAATTTTGGACAACTGCACAAATAAGCATTTCTATAGTTCCTATGAGGTAAATTTCTTTTTATAATTGATTGTCCCTAATTTTAGTTTGCAGTGTTCCTAACAACCCGGATTAGTACTGCTTAAGTGGCCTCCTAGGCTTAAACATCTCATCTTTTTACTGGGTTGAGGTTGCTTGATTGGCTGCCTAGGAGTTTAGCATCTTCAATTCTAAGAGCATATTTCACCCTTCAACCTGCTGTTGAACTAATTGGATCAGTAATGATTTTTTAACCATGACATGTTCTATTTCAGTTCAGTTAGCATGCTTAATTTTTCCCAATGCGTCCATAAGTTTCCGTGCTAATTGCTAATAGTTGGAGTCTTTCTTATGTGAATTTTTGCATCTTGAATTTTTTTTGTCATCCACATTATTTTGTGTTATTTTCCTAATCCTGGATATATATCATGCAGCATCATCTTTCTTCTCTGCTGGCTTCCACCGATGCGGATGTGGTTGAAGCCTGTCTACAAGCTTTATCATCTTTCTTAAGGAAATCAATTGGAAAACACATCATAAGAGATACATCTCTAAGTCCAAAGCTATTTGCTTTTGCACAAGGTTGGGGTGGGAAGGATGAAGGACTTGGGTTGGTTGCTTGTGCCGTAGAGGATGTATCTGACCCAGTAACTCAGGAGTTGGGCAGTACCCTCCATTTTGAGTTCTATGCGGTGAACGATTCATTGAAGGAAAACTTAGCTGCAGAACAGGCAACCGAAGGTTTACAGATTATCCACTTGCCTAAAGTCAATACTTGCGAAAACTCTGATAATGATCTCTGGCACAAGTTAGTTGAAGAGTATAAAGTTCCTCGTGGTTTAAGATTCTCCCTTTTGACAAAATTGCGTTTTGCAAGAGCTTTCAGCTCCTTTGCTGGCCGACAACAGTACACGTGCATTCGCTTGCATGCGTTTATAGTTCTTGTTCAAGCATGTGGTGATACTGATGATCTGGTCTCCTTTTTTAACACTGAGCCTGAGTTCATCAATGAATTAGTCACTCTGCTGAGCTATGAAGATGCAGTCCCTGAAAAAATTCGAATATTAAGTCTGTTTTCATTGGTTGCTCTCTGTCAAGATCGCTCTCGGCAGCCAACAGTGCTGTCTGCTGTAACGTCCGGTGGGCATCGTGGCATCCTATCTAGCCTCATGCAGAAGGCTATTGATGCCGTGGTTAGTAAATCGTCTAAATTTTCTGTGCTCTTTGCTGAGGCTCTGCTCTCCTTGGTCACTGTGTTAGTTTCGTCCTCATCTGGCTGTTCTGCAATGCGTGAAGCAGGGTTTATACCGACCCTTCTGCCTCTTCTTAAAAACACAGATCCTCAGCATTTGCATTTAGTCAGCACTTGTGTACATGTTTTAGAAGCATTTATGGATTACAGCAATCCAGCTGCTGCTTTATTTCGTGACCTTGGAGGATTAGATGATACAATTTTTCGACTGAAGGTAGAAGTTTCTCATGTTGAAAATGGCTCAAAGCAAGAAGGCACTTCTGTAGAGATGGATAGTTCTGAATGTAGCAATAGTCAAGTTGTTGCTGGTACATCTTCTGAATTGGATAGTATGCAACCTCTTTATTCTGAAGCGTTGGTGTCATACCACCGGAGGTCCCTGATGAAAGCTTTACTGCGTGCTATATCCCTTGGGACGTATGCTCCTGGAACCACTGCTCGTGTTTATGGTTCCGAAGAAAGTCTGTTGCCACATTGCTTATACGCGATCTTTAGAAAAGCTAAAGATTTTGGTGGTGGCATGTTTTCTCTAGCAGCAATTGTCATGAGTGATCTCATCCACAAAGACCCTACTTGTTATTCAATCTTAGAAGAAGCTGGTCTTCCATCTGCGTTTTTAGATGCTATAATGGAGAGTGTGCTCTGCTCTGCTGAAGCAATAACATGTATACCTCAGTGTTTGGATGCCTTGTGCCTTAGTAATAGTGGCCTCCAGGCGGTGAAAGATCGTAATGCTTTGAGGTGCTTTGTGAAAATATTTACATCAAGAATGTATGTACGTGTCCTTATGGGTGATACTCCAAGTTCATTGTCTAGTGGTCTGGATGAACTAATGAGACATGCTTCTTCCCTACGTGGGCATGGGGTAGATATGTTGATTGAGATTTTGAAAACCATCGAAAAGATTGGATCTGGACCTGAAGCGGCTTCATCCACCACTGAAACTCCAAGCTATTCTTCAGTTCCAATGGATACTGATGTCCTTGATAAGTTGGGGGATATCCCTGACTCGGGGCAGTGCAGCAAGATTCAAAATCCTGAGAAGCATCCTGAGCCATCTTCTGATACATCTTTGTTTAATGTTGAGTCCTTTCTCCCTGATTGTGTTAACAATGTTGCTSGTCTGCTTGAAACRATTCTTCAAAATTCKGACACATGYCGTATATTTGTTGAGAAAAARGGAATTGAAGCTGTTMTGCAGTTATTTACTTTGCCTYTGATGCCTKCYTCWGTTTCTRTTGGACAGAGCATMTCTGTTGCTTTTAAGAGCTTCTCTCCACATCATTCTGCATCYCTTGCTCGAGCATTATGTYTTTWCKTGAAAGARCWTTTGAARTCAACAAATGAGCTACTGGCTTCTCTTGGTGGTATGCAGCTTKCGCTGGTAGACGAGATTAAAAGGACAAAGGTATTGAGGTGYCTTTCTAGTCTTGAAGGTACATTGTCKCTTTCAAATTCTTTGTCGAARGGRACTACTAATCTTGTGTCTGAACTGGGAACTTCTGATGCGGAKGTGYTGAGAGATCTTGGAGTTGCTTACAGGGAAATACTCTGGCAAGTTTCTATTTGTTGTGATTCTAAAGTGGATGAGAAGCAGAGTAATGAAGCAGAGGCCGAAAATGTTGATGCTGCTGTTGGTGGTAATGCTGATACTGCCGCTGCTGCAAGTAACACTGTTGAAAGGGAAAGYGATGATGATGCGAGCATGCCGGTGGTGAGATATATGAAYCCTGTTTCTGTTCGGAATAGTTCACACCCCCACTGGGGTTTAGAGCGWGAYTTYGTTTCRGTTGTYAGATCTGGTGAAGGCTTCAGTCGGCGCAGTCGACATGGATTAGCACGTATACGAGGAGGAAGAACCGGTAGACATCTTGATGCATTACATATTGATCCTGAGGCCTCTGTGAGTAACAATGAGACAAGTTCTTCCCAGGATGTGAAGACAAAAAGCCCTGAGGTTCTTGTTATGGAAAACCTTAACAAACTTKMTTCTACCATACGTTCTTTYTTTACYACTCTTGTAAAAGGATTYCCATCATCTAATCGCCGGAGGGCTGAAGCTGCATCACTAAGTACTGCTTCAAAGAACATTGGGACAGCACTGGCGAAAGTTTTTCTTGAGGCACTTAGTTTTCCAGGGTACAGCGTGGGTTCTGGTCTTGGTACGTCATTAACAGTGAAGTGCCAATATCTTGGAAAGGTTGTGGATCAYATGGCWGCRCTAACATTTGATAGTAGGCGTCGTRTCTGCTATACSGTAATGRTAAATAACTTCTATGTCCAGGGGACCTTCAAGGAACTACTYAACACTTTTGAAGCTACAAGYCAGTTGCTATGGACATTGCCTTATTCTGCTTCRACWKCTGGTGKTRAYCATGAAAARGRTGAAAGAAGCAAATTGTCTCACAGTACATGGTTACTTGACACGTTACAGAGCTACTGTCGTCTTCTAGAGTTTTTTGTTAACTCTACCTATCTTTTGTCTCCAACCTCCACACTTCAAGCTCAGTTGCTTGTACAGCCTGTGGCTGTTGGCTTGTCAATTGGGTTGTTTCCTGTWCCTCGAGATCCYGAARTGTTTGTTCGTATGCTGCAATCKCAGGTTCTGGATGTCATYCTTCCTGTCTGGAACCAYTCTATGTTTCCTGGTTGTAATCCTGSATTCRTTACTACAATTGTGACACTTGTCACCCATATATATTGTGGTGTTGGTGATGCAAAACGAAGTCRMAKTRGTGGGTCTGGGGGTGCTAAYCAGAGGTTCATGCCTCCACCTGATGAAGCCACTATTTCTACCATTGTAGAGATGGGATTTACGAGGGCAAGGGCAGAAGAAGCGTTAAGACGTGTTGAAACGAATAGTGTCGAGATGGCCATGGAGTGGTTGTTCAGTCATGCCGAAGATCCTGTGCAGGAGGATGATGAATTGGCAAGAGCACTTGCTTTATCTCTAGGAAACTCATCAGAAACTTCTAAAGTTGATAGCACAGAAAAATTGGCTGATGTCCAAACAGAAGTGGCAGAGGCAAAGACACCGCCCATAGATGACATTCTTGCTGCGACGATGAAATTGTTTCAAAGTAGTGATTCAATGGCTTTCCCGTTGACAGATTTGCTTGTCACCTTCTGCAGTAGGAATAAAGGAGAAGATCGCCCAAAAGTGATATCGTATCTTATTCAACAGCTGAAACTCTGCCCACTCGAGGCTTCAAAGGAAACCAGTACACTCTGTATGATATCACACACATTGGCATTGCTTCTTGCTGAAGATGTTACCGCTAGAGAAATTGCTGTGAAGAATGGCATTGTCTCCATAGCAATTGATATCTTGATGAAGTTCTTGGTAGAAATCGAGTCACAAAATGAACTTTTGGTACCAAAATGCATCAGTGCTCTGCTTCTTATCTTGGACAATCTGTTGCATACGAGGCCCAACTTCTCTTGTGACAGTAAGGAAGGAACACAAGCAGGATCTTTACCTGATCCGAGGCAAGAACAAGCATCTCTTTCAGTTCCTCAGGAAGGTATTGAAGAGAAACCTACTCCAGTTAGTGTGGATAAAGAAAAAGGCAGTGCATTTGAAAAGATATTTGGAAAATCTACTGGTTATCTGACTGTTGAAGAGGGTAATAGGGTACTGACTGTTGCCTGTGATCTGATCAAACGACATGTTCCTGCTATGGTCATGCAGGCAGTTCTTTTGTTATGTGCTCGCTTGACCAAAACACACGCTCTGGCTTTGCAGTTTCTTGAAAATGGATGTATGATTGATCTTTTCAGTATACCAAAGACTTGCTTCTTCCCTGGATATGACACAGTAGCTTCTGCCATCATTCGACATCTCATTGAAGATCCTCAGACACTACAAACAGCAATGGAATTGGAGGTACGGCAAGCTCTAAGTGGGAGCCGTCATGCTGGTCGTGTTCCTCCRCGAGTATTTTTGACATCTATGGCTCCTCTTATTTCTAGAGATCCCGAGGTCTTCATGAAAGCGGCGACAGTCGTATGTCAAGTGGAAACCACTGGAGGGAGAACTGTTGTATTATCCAAAGAAAAGGAGAAAGAGAAGGAGAAATCAAAAGCACCTGGTGTTGAAATTGGAGCATCTTCTACTGAATGTGCTCGTGTACCAGAAAATAAATCTCAAGATGGGCCAACGAAGTGTGGCAAGGGTCAGAAGAAGATTCCTGCTAATCTCACCCAGGTCGTTGATCACCTGCTTGAAATTGTCTTGAAATATTCTTCATCGAATCCTGAGGAAGATTGCACTAGATCTGCTAATGCCATGGACGTAGACGAGTCTGCTGCTAACAAGGGTAAAACGAAGGTGGATGATACAAGGATAGAATTGGACAGTCTTTCAGAAAGATCAGCAGGGTTAGCTAAGGTGACTTTTGTCCTCAAGTTGCTKAGTGATATTCTTCTGATGTATGTACATGCAGTTGGAATAATTCTGAAACGTGATCTGGAGATGTGTCAACATCGGGGACATAATCAGCTGGAATATCCTGGACACGGTGGGATAGTGCACCATGTTATGCATCAACTTCTCCACCCTTGTATGGATAAGTCTTCTGGGAATGGATCTGATGAATGGAGAGGGAAATTATCAGAAAAAGCTTCATGGTTTTTGGTGGTTTTATGTGGTCGCTCAAGCGAAGGGCGTAGGCGTGTGATAAATGTACTTGTTAAAGCTTTGTCTTCGTTTGCAAACTCAGCCAACAATTCATCTAAGCACAGTTTATTGCCAGATAAAAAGGTCACTGCTTTTGTAGATTTGGTTTATTCAATTTTGTCAAAAAATTCATCGTCCGGCAATGTACCTGGTTCTGGATGCTCCCCAGATATAGCTAAAGGAATGATTGATGGAGGAATGATTCCATGCCTATCCAGTATTCTTCAGGTGCTAGATCTAGACCATCCTGATGCCCCAAAAGTTGTAAATATCAATCTTAAATCTTTGGAAGCCTTAACACGGGCTGCCAATGCTGTGGAACAACTTACATTATCTGATTTGGCCAACAAGAAAAAGTCTGTTGGTTTGAGTACGAGATCTGATAATCAGATGATTAATACTCCAGTTGATCAGATACCAGTGGGTAATCGTAGCAGTAGTCAACATGAGATCACAGGCACTGATGATGCTGAGCAACATCATGAAGAAACAACTCAAGTTGAAGGTGGTCACCAAGCAAATATAAACCAGCCGGCAGAGCAGGAGCTGAGAAATGAAATGGACGAAACTGAGAATGCAAATCATTCTGTGGAGCTGGGGATGGGTTTCATGCATGAAGAGATGGAAGATGGCGGTGTTTTACGGGATTCTGATCAAATTGAGATGACATTTCATGTTGAGAGTAGGGAAGGCGATAATACTGGTGATGAAGATGATGACATGGGAGATGATGGTGAGGAGGATGAGGATGATGATGATGGTGATGACGAGGATGAGGATATAGCTGAGGATGGTACTGCTTTGATGTCCCTAGCTGACACGGATGTGGAGGACCATGATGAAACTGGCTTGGGAGATGAATATAATGATGATATGGTTGATGAAGAGGATGATGATTACCATGAAAATCGTGTTATTGAGGTAAGATGGAGGGAGGCCCTTGATGGGGTACTTGGGCAACCAGGAGCTGATAGTGGRCTTATTGACATTGCTGCAGAGCCCTTTGAAGGGGTGAATGTGGATGACCTTTTTGGCCTTCGAAGACCTCTAGGCTTTGATCGCCGTCGTCAGCAGAGTAGAACCTCATTTGAGAGATCTGGTACAGAGGCGAATGGTCTGCAGCATCCTCTTCTATTGAGACCATCACAGTCTGGTGACTTGGGTTCAGTGTGGTCATCAGGTGGCAACTCATCTCGGGATTTAGAATCATTGTCTGGTGGGAACTTTGATGTTACCCATTTCTATATGTTTGATTCTCCTGTTCTTCCCTTCGATCATGTACAATCTACCGTATTTGGTGACAGAGTTGGAGGTGCAGCGCCACCACCACTGGCTGATTTTTCTGTGGGTTTGGAGTCATTGCGTGCATCTGGACGAAGAGGACCCGGAGATGGCCGTTGGACTGATGATGGGCAACCACAAGCAGGTGGTCAGGCTGCTGCTATTGCACAGGCCGTAGAAGAGCAGTTCATGTCTCAGTTACGCGGTACTGCTCCTTCATCCAGTTCTGCTGAAAGGCCTAATTTTAATTCAGGATCTTTAGGGAGACAATCAGATTCCCCCTTAGGCAATGATAATCATTTGGCAGCAGAGGGTGTGGATAGTGATGCTCTGCAGAATGAAGGTCGGCATGGTGAGAATGATCAAAATACTCTCCATCAACAGCTTAATGAAATGGTTGAAAATGTTGCCAGTCAGGAACAAGTTCAGCCTAATATGGTTGTGGAACAAATGGGAGAACAACAAGCACAAGGGCCCTGCCCTGATGTTGTAAATAATGCACACGATGGTCATGATAACATGGAACTTGGAGAAGGAAATGGGAGTGTGAATGAGCTTCAGGTAAAGCTTATTATTACTTTGTTCGTTATAGGAGTTTATTTTATTTTTTGGTTGAGTTCTCTGATGCAATTATGTACATGGTGTGCTGATTTTTTGTTCAGGAGTTGTCAGCAACTGAAGACGTGGCGAGTAATCATCTGGTAATTGCAACTGATGATGTGCCCAATTCTGGTGATCATCATGCTATAGTTACTGGAAATGACGATGTTGATATGAATGCTGATTCTGAAGCAAATCAAGGAGGGGATCCCTTGCCTTCGATCGCTGTCATAGAGGAATCATCATCTGGACAGAACACTCGGATTGCCCAGGTCAATGGTCAAACTGGTCAATCAGATGAAACAGATGCAACTATTGTGGCCCCAAATGCAAATGGCATAGATCCAACCTTCTTGGAGGCACTACCTGCAGATCTGAGGGCAGAAGTACTTGCTTCACAACAAGCTCAATCTGCCCCAGCTCCGGTTTCTGCTCCTGCTACAGCTGAAGACATTGATCCAGAATTTTTAGCCGCTCTTCCTCCAGACATCCAAGCCGAAGTTTTAGCACAACAACGTGCACAGAGGGTTGCACATCAGGCTGAAGGGCAACCTGTGGACATGGATAATGCTTCAATTATAGCTACTTTTCCAGCGGATTTGCGCGAAGAGGTTTGTATCCTGAACTCCAGGACTTCATACATGTGTTAGTATGCTTAATTCTTGTCGTTTGCTTGTCGGTAGGTGCTATTGACGTCTTCAGAGGCAGTTCTTTCAGCATTGCCCTCTCCGTTGCTTGCCGAAGCACAAATGCTCAGGGATAGAGCTATGAGTCACTATCAGGCCCGTAGCTTGTTTGGAAGTAGCCACAGAATCGATAACCGTAGAAACGGATTGGGATTTGATAGGCAGACAGTAATTGATAGGGGTGTTGGCGTTACAATAGGACGAAGAACATCTTCTGCTCTTCTAGAAAGCTTGAAAATGAAGGAAGTTGAGGGGGAGCCCCTTTTAGATCCTGGTGCTTTGAAAGCGTTGATCAGGCTTCTACGACTAGCACAGGTAATAATTGCTCCATCTAGTCCCTTAATTGGTATTAGGGTTTTGCTAAGTAAGCGTCTTTAACAACCTTATTTGTTCAGATACTTTATAATAAAACATGTCGTAGTTGTCTTTATTAATTGTATTGTACTCGAACTAACAAGTGAAGCATTATGAAAGAAAAGCTACTCAATACGTTGATGCTGATGGATGCTACATAAGCTTGCTACATAAGCTTACTACATCATCCAACCATCTTTTTTGTCTGTTTTGGGTTTTTAAGATCCTTTAATTAACCTAATACGATTTGAAAAAACGACTGATTTTCTTTTTCATTTTGCAAATACAATATCTCAGATCATTTTTAAAGTTGAAATTTTTTCTTTCGTTTCTCGCTCATTGTGTGTGTGTCCCATGTCCACTTATCATTGTATCATGGTGACTAAAGATACAATTGAGGGATGAAATATGTTCAAGAACTGTGGTTTTGAGCTCATCTTGGGCTTGAAGAAAACTTCATTACATGATCCCGTTTAACATTTAGGTTATTAGCTTTGAAATATATAGAACACACTCGATTTAAAGGTTCACCATTTTCACTTGTTGCTGTCAGCCCCTTGGGAAAGGCCTTCTGCAAAGACTTTTCCTAAACTTATCTGCTCATAGTCGTACAAGGGCAATCCTTGTTTTTTTGCTACTGGACATGATCAAGATGGAAGCTGAAGGTCCTGTAAGTGGATTGACAGTAGTAAATTCTCAGAGGCTTTATGGGTGTCTGTCTAATGTTGTTTATGGCCGATCACAGCTCTTAGATGGTATTGTTTCCTTTTAACATGACACTCATTTTGTTTAAATTTTTTAAATATTTGTTCATGTTGATGCTAAAGAGTTGTTCATTTACAGGTCTCCCGCCGCTAGTCCTGCGTCGGGTCCTTGAGATTTTGACGTACTTGGCTACAAATCATTCTTCTGTTGCTAATTTGCTGTTCTACTTTGATTCTTCACTTGTTCCGGAGTCCTTGAATCTCAAATACCATGATAGGAGGAATGATAAGGGAAAAGAGAAGGTTGTTGAAGGAAGAGACATCTCTCATCCTGTTGGATTGGAGGGTAATATTCCTGTATTATTGTTTGTAAAGCTCTTGAATCAATCGCTTTTCCTTCGCAGTATTGCTCATCTCGAACAGGTATTTTGGTCCATCTATATCATTGTTACCTTTCAGGCTTTCGGTTGCACTGACGTGGTAGCTCTGTTGTGGGTTTAACATTCGTTGTATATTAAAATTGTTGTGCAGGTCATGGGACTGCTTCAAGTTGTTGTATACACTGCTGCTTCAAAGTTAGATTGCCAATCGCATGCTGAACAAGCAGTGACCAGTTCCCAAGGTCTGCCTGGCAATGAAGCTGCTGATCATCCTCAGGGAGATTCTTTCTCGGCAGGAGCAGAACCTAGTCAGAATGATAAAAGTGTCAGTGATGGATTATCTACGTCAGATGACCAAAAAAGTGTCAACATGTATGACATCTTCATGAAGCTACCACAAACTGATCTACATAATCTATGCAGCCTCCTTGGCCATGAGGGGTAATATTTATGACCCAATTCTGAATTTTTCCAGTTGTGTCCACTGTTTGTTTTGAAATGAGCATTTCCTTTCAAAATAGCCTTTTCTTATCATTATTTTACCCTCTAGTTGTCTGATGTACTACCTCGCACTTTTACGTGCTTATGTTGCATTTGATTAGAAGCATTAATTTGCCCCCATCTTAACTGCATAATTTTTATGTGTTGCTTTACTTAAAAGGTTGACACCTGAATAATTTGTCTACTAGGCTATCAGATAAAGTTTACCTGCTTACTGGGGAAGTTCTGAAGAAGTTGGCCTCAGTTGCTGCCTCGCATCGAAAATTCTTCATTGTGGAGCTTTCAGATTTAGCTCATAGTCTAAGCAGTTCAGCCATCCGAGAACTTATCACACTGAAAAACACTCAAATGTTGGGTCTGAGTGCCGGATCCATGGCTGGGGCTGCTGTTCTAAGAATCCTGCAGACACTTAGCTCTCTCACTGTACCTGATATTGATGGCAGTAAGGGTGTGAAAAGTGGTGACAATCAGGAGCATGTTACCATGTGGAAATTAAATGTTTCACTTGAGCCTTTGTGGCAAGAATTGAGCGAGTGTATAAGTGTGACAGAGACGCAGTTGACACAAGGCTCCTTTTCTTTGGTTATTTCAAATGCCAACGCGGCCGAGCATGTTCAGGGCTCTTCATCTCCTCCTCTCCCACCTGGAACTCAGAGGCTTTTGCCCTTCATTGAGGCCTTTCTGGTCCTGTGTGAAAAGCTTCAAGCAAACAATTCTCTTCTGCAGCAAGATGATGCCACCTATGCAACCGCAACGGAAGTTAAGGAGATCTCCGGGAATTCATCACCTAGTGGGGTGAGGATTGATGGTGCTGTGACATTTGCTCGGTTCGCTGAGAAACATCGGCGGCTTTTGAATGCCTTTATCAGGCAAAATCCTGGCTTATTGGAGAAGTCACTTTCTATGATGCTGAAAGCACCGCGGTTAATTGACTTTGACAACAAAAGAGCGTATTTCCGTTCTAGAATTAGGCACCAACATGATCAACACTTAACTGGACCGCTGAGGATAAGTGTTCGACGAGCATATGTGTTGGAAGATTCCTACAATCAGTTGCGGATGCGACCCAGTCAGGACTTAAAAGGTCGTTTAAATGTTCATTTTCAAGGTGAAGAGGGTATCGATGCGGGTGGTTTGACAAGAGAATGGTATCAATTGTTGTCGAGGGTAGTATTTGACAAAGGAGCTTTGCTTTTTACAACTGGAGGAAACAATGCAACCTTCCAGCCAAACCCTAATTCTGTTTATCAAACAGAGCATCTTTCTTACTTCAAATTTGTGGGCCGTGTGGTTGCTAAAGCTCTGTTTGATGGGCAACTGTTGGATGTTTACTTCACCCGTTCCTTCTATAAACATATCCTCGGTGTGAAGGTAACATATCATGATATAGAGGCTGTTGATCCTGATTATTATAAGAACTTGAAGTGGTTGTTGGAGGTAAGTACACTTGAAGATACGGTTTATACTTCCATATTAATGTTGTTTTTCTACTTCTAGAGTTCCTATTGCTTCTTTATACTTGCGGGTTTTTTGACCACCGCTGTTTCTTGTATCAGAACGATGTAAGTGATATACTGGACCTGACATTTAGCATGGACGCCGATGAAGAAAAGCACATCCTTTATGAGAAAACAGAGGTATGTAAGAAGCACTTTATCCATTTGAAGTTCTAAAATCATATAGGAATTCTTTTCTACTAACAAAATTGTCATCAACTTAAACATTGAACTTTGGTTGGGCTATCCTTTTCTGGATTGATGGTTTATTTTTTATATGGGAAAAAAGGTTACTGATTACGAGCTCAAACCGGGTGGACGGAATATAAGGGTAACAGAAGAAACAAAGCACGAGTATGTGGATCTCGTTGCTGAACATATACTTACAAATGCGATACGACCTCAAATTAATTCCTTTTTGGAGGGTTTTAACGAGTTGATACCGCGTGACCTCATTTCTATTTTCAACGATAAAGAGCTTGAGCTGCTGATTAGTGGACTTCCGGAAATCGATTGTGAGTTTACTTACTGGTGCATTTAAAACAATGTGCTAACTTGTTTTTTTGAGGTCATTAAGATAACTTCTTGTTATTGCAGTGGATGATCTGAAGGCCAACACTGAATATACCGGATACACAGTTGGTTCTATTGTTGTTGTGTGGTTTTGGGAAGTTGTAAAAGCATTTAACAAGGAAGATAGGGCGAGATTGCTTCAATTTGTGACGGGTACATCAAAGGTATGGTGTAGTTATCATCTTTATTACCAAATTCTTCTTTAAGAAGATATAAAAGTTGGCAGTAACATGTTATATACTAGTAATCTAGTACTTACATCTGAATAACGATTTGAAATACACTCATTTCCCTTTTTGGAAGTAGACAATAACCCCATATCTATCTATATATATATATGTATTACTTAGGTTCCGTTGGAAGGTTTTAAAGCATTGCAAGGTATATCCGGTCCACAAAGATTTCAAGTTCACAAAGCTTATGGAGCTCCCGAGAGGCTGCCGTCAGCTCATACTTGGTTGGTGTTTTCTTAGTTTTGTTAGCTGTGACTCAAGCATTAAGTTGTTTTATTTACGTCTACTTTTTTCCGCAGTTTCAACCAATTAGATCTTCCTGAATACCCGTCAAAGGAACATCTTCAGGAGCGATTACTACTTGCTATCCACGAAGCTAGTGAAGGGTTCGGGTTTGGATAGTGATATAAATCTGGCTGCTTCACATTGTAGTGTCCCATTTCAGCCATTGCTATGTTATGTAAATGTTAGTTTCACTTCTTGGCTTCATTCAGATTGCTAAAAGGAACTCATGATGTGCCTGTGTTTTCTCATCTTAATTACTAAACTGAACTCATAAATCATATTTGTTTTTGTTTTGGGATAAAGAATGAACATCAATTTGAAGACGCAAGAAGATGGATCACGCCGAACAAGCATTTTTGGGTCATACTCGTAGCATGGGAATGCAATGCGGTCTTATGGGTTATAAAAAAAGATTAAATTTGAAGATTCCGCAGGCTGGCTTCGTGTAAATCGTAGCTGTTTTCGGTTGGTTAGTAGCTCTTGACCGATTCAGTTTCTTGATTCATGTTACCAAGTATTTGAAAGCACCTTCCATATCAATCTTTCTTTGCAATTGCAGATAGCAAACAACCAGCTGAACCCAAAAGCTTGCATGGAGTAGTTTGGGGATATGTTTGCCATGTGTTTTATGGTAAATTATATGGGTATGAAATTTGTTGTGAAGTGGGTTCATAGTGATTTTATGTTTATTGAAAAAGGTCAAGAATAAGTTTTGTGGTCATGAAGAAAAAATAACCACCACTTCCTGGTGTTGTTTGGATTTGTTGGAATTATAGCGAACGAATAAAGAAAATACATCGTTTCGGTTTATGGGATTTGATACGTTTGAAAACGAGTTTTGGATCGGGTTAACGTGTACTTTTTTAGAAATTACTTTTGTGGTCGGATTTAGGGATTTTGTGATCGGGTTATCGATCATTCTAAGTTGATTCCTAATTTGGAATCATTCAAAGTCATGGACATTCTTACTTTTGATCAACTTTTTCATGTTTGAACCAAAATAGTATATCGTAAATGTCACTTTTGCAATTAACAAATATGTACTTTTTATGAATAAAATATGATTATAATGTATCCAACCAGAATCATATTTAATTTAGGAAAATATATTTCGTAAAGTTGTTGAAATCTTCATTATTTTGGTCAAACCGAGAAAAATGGTTAAAAAATGAAAATGTTGGTCCAAAATAGTTAATTTGGGCATTTTGGGTGAAAAGTTAATTACCAACAATTCTAACCGACCCCACAAGAAACCCTGCCTCCAATGACACTAATGTAATAAGCATTTTTTGATTCACTTAGCGGCCGAGGCTACCAAGGGACCCGGGATCCAAGCAGAGACTTGTCTTGTATTTGAGCATCACAAGATACACGTTAGAACAAGATTCATTCTATAGGCTCGTACATCTGTATTCTTGATTCTAAAGTAGCTAATTTGGTCGGTTTTTTCTTTTTAGAATTCATCTACTCCATAAATGTCCACAATGAAAACGACAAACAGTTTTACGAATATGTAATTTGTTTTACTCTTTAAATAACCAATCACACTTTTACCCTTTATAACAGAGAGCGACTTTTTCCATCTTATAATTAAGGGTAGAATGAGAAATTGAAAACTCAATTTTAAACGTGAACACTTATTTTAAGACAAAATAAAATAGCAATAAAAAGGGTAATTTTTAAATATGAAACACACAACAAAGGTAACCCCATGGCCCACCAACACATAGAATACACACACACACACCTGGCTATTATGAGGCTACAAAACCTAAAGGTACTTGAGAAGGGAGGGTACAATGGGGCCAAATGCCTCCTTGAAATATGATGGTAATTTTTACATATGAATGCTACTTTACACAATATGATTGTCATGCTCCAAAAAGTGATAGTAACTAACAAAATGAATAATGAGTGCTACAACTTTTCAATTTGTTTCATTTATGTTAAAATGACTAAAATATGTATCTTTAACAGGTTCTTTAAAATGGAAATTTTGGTCATATTTTTGTTCCAACAACTTCTCCAAAACTTTTTAAAAAATGAGGATAAGAGAGAGAGAGAGAGAGAGAGAGAGAGAGAGAGAGAGAGAGTGTGTGTGTGTGTGTGTGTGTGTAAATTTCTCCAAATTTGGAGAACTCCAAAAAATGATTACAAAATGAGATAAATATTTTTTTACTATGTTCAGACCAATAGGAATCTTTGATGTTAAATGTTTATGAGAGAGAAATATTGTTTTATTAGATATACAAATTATTTAATAATATAATTAATGTTTTAGTTTCCAAAAATAGAGAATCTGTTGGAGATAAATGTAATTTTTTTTAAGATTTTGAGTTTTAGTTATTTTTTTTTGAATTTTTTTAAAAAAGAATCTGTTGGAGATACTTTTATGAGAGATAAATAATATTTTATTAATTGTGTAGAATATTTTAATAATATAAATAATCTTCAAATAGAGAAGTTATTGACGATGAAAGTAATTTTTCTTTGGGAATTTTGACTTTTACTTTTTCTATTTTGGAAAATCTGTTGGAGATGCTACTGTTTGGTTGGTTTTCCATTAAGTATTTTACGAATAAAGTTGTTTATGTGAATTAATCTGTTTGTATCCACTGAGAAGGTTTTAAGAGCTTTTCATAAATGAAAGACGGTGTTTTTTCATTTGGAGGAACAATGTTTGAAAAAACTTGACATTCTACATAAAGTTTCTTTTTAAAAGTTTATTAAATAAGTCACTTTCTTATATGTATCATAGAAACTTATTAACTATGCAGTTAATAGAGCGATATAGCGGCGCAATAGCGGATAATGGTCCTAGCCCAAATGTCGATGCATGAATAGCGATGTGTTATATCAGTACCACAAATAGAGGCTGCTATTACCGCTATTGACCGCAATTTTGATACCAAATAGCGGTCGCTATTACCTTTTTTTTTTTTTTTAATTCTACTTGTGTTTTTGTTGTGTCATTTATGTGGGCTATTTAGAGTCAAACTTATGCCTATAAACCAAAAGGAAACTGATTAAATCAACAATAGAAACAATTAGGTTAAACATTGTACCGATTCCAAGTCCAAAAAACTACAACATCTCAAGTTTCCTTCTCGATTTCACGGTTCCACGGGTTTTCAGTTGGAGATTTTTTCTCAAGTTCTCTTCCCATCTCGACTCCACAGTTCCTATTACTATGTTACTTGTGTGTTTTTATTGTTTGGCTCGATATGTATTAAACATACGATATTTTAAGTTTTATATATATATTCGTATTTATTTTGAGAACATTATTTTTTTACCGGTATATCACCATGATAACCGCTATTTCAAATAAAGGTTCTGACTGCTATTTTCGCAACGGGCAGCGTTAACTGCTTAGCTTAAGATCATTTAATCAAACTTATAAACATCTAACCCTATGGGGTTATGTTAGCTAATAATAAGACATGGGCCTTTAAAATTCTCCTCATAGGGGTTTGAGTCTTGCAAGCTCATTGAGAATTTTCCTGGCTGTTCACCAGGGACCTTTGGATCAGTCGAGGTGGACGAAAGATTTTCCAGAGAATCCTCCCCCGTGGCGGTTCTCAGATTCCCCAGGGCTTGAGCTCCCCGACGAGCCCAATCCTCCCCTAAGTCCAGAGGTATCATTTTTTGGACGATCGAGTTGTCCTGACACCTATGATTAACAAAATAAAATTCTGAACAACTAGTTTTTCAAAGTGCAGTGACCTAATAAAAGAAATTGAACGATATGACGTTATAATAAAAATTAATTGTTATTTAATTTAAATAAAAAATACATAATCTGTAAACGGGGACACCCATCCCGGGGTCTTGGCATTGAAACCAACGAGGGGTGTGTATTGTGTGGATCGGGCGGGTTCGGATGGGCAAATCAAAAACCAGATCGGATTTTGGATTGCTTCAGGTTCGGGTTGGTCAGGTTCTAGGTTAAAGTTGATCGGATCGGGCTTAGTTATAATGCAAAAAATATATATTCAATCGATTTTGAGAATGGATTCAATTGATTTAAATAAATGATAATATCCTTAAAAATTAGAGAAAGAGCACGATTGACTATGATTTTTAGATTTTTCAAAAGATATATATATATATATATATATATATATATATATATATACACATATAGTATTTAAAATATATATGTATATATAGTTCGAGTTTTCAGACGAACCAGTGATCAAAAATAAAACCCAAAGCGAACCCACATTATCCCTCAAAAGTCGGTTTTCGGGTTTTAGGACATTCGAGTTTTACACAAATACCTTGTTTTCTGTTCAAGTTCAAATTCGGATTTCGAACCATTCAAGTTTTACGCACCCCTAAAATCAACACCATCGTAAGCAGAGGTGGACGGTGGTGGGGTTATCATTATATTTTTAAAAATTAAAAGCTGAATTTTATGTTGTTTTTGTTTCTTTAATGTTTTTTAAATATGAAATTTAGTTGCAGGACATAATAACTATTTAAAGTTTCTTGAAAACATTTGGACCATATTACACATCACATAGTAGTATCCAAATTTGATTTGATTATAAGGAAACCAATTTAGATTAAAAGTTGTTGAAAACAAACGGTGTCGTAGTCGTTGACTTCTTAAGAGGTCAGGAGTTCAAACATCACCAAAAGTGAAGAGGGCGTGTAAATTCATTTGTTGCATTTGTCGTGTATAAATATTATATACTTCAAAAAACAATGTATTTTTATTAATTTCAAAAATATTTTATTTTCATGATCTTCAAAACCGTGTTGGTATGCAGATGAGATTGGATATGTAAGTATAAGATAGGCAAGTGAAATAATTATGAAAGGTTTTAGTGTTTTGATTCGACATCTGTTAGTTTAGTAGTTTATCAGTCTTGTTCCATTTATTTTGGTGTAAGTTTTTTCTTGTAGCAATATAATGTCACACCTAACATGAAACAACAAATTTTTATTTTTATTTTTATTTTGTATTGCCTTATCATATTTCATCTACCAAATGTATACATTTTTTTTAAGTATATGATACTTATATACGACAAATATAATAAATAAACTCACACACCATCTTCACATTTTGTGAGGTTTGAACTTTTGACCTCCTAGAAGGCCAAAAACTCACATATCATTGATGACCAAAAACCGGTCTCATGCCTGGCCGGGCCTCAACAGTGTTGGGCTTAACCCGTCCCAACCAAAAAAAAATGTTTTTATTTTTTTATTCTTTTTGATGATAGATTTTTAAAATGCATTATAAAATTTGTAGTTGGGTTACTCAAATACACTTTAAAAATGCGTTTTATTATAATTAAAATTACATTGTCTTTAAAATTGTGAACGTTTTTTGCGTTTTTTTACGAATTGAGAACTTGGTATATAAACTCCTCAACCAAAACACTTATTTATAATGTTTAGAAGGCAAAAAAATCCAAAAAAACGGCCACCTAACGGCGAGTTTTTTGAAAAAACTGGGTCGGGCCCATAACCGGTCCTGGTCCTAGAGATGGCCAAAAACCGGTCCGGGCCGGTCCCAATCGGTCCTCATCTTTCTCATAACCGGCCATAACCGGTCCCGGTCTCAGTCCCGGGCCCAACCGAAAATGATAGGACCGATCAAGGTACTTCATAACCGGTTGTGGGCCGTCGGTCCCGGTCCCGGTCCCAACTGGTCCTTGCATTAAAAAAATAAGATTTTTATTTTTATTTTTTTAATGATATATATTTTTAATACATTATAAAATTTACAATTGGATCACTCAAATACACTTTAAAAATACGTTTTAATATAATTAAAATTACGTTTTCTTATAAAAATACATTATAAAATTATTTAAAGATACATTTATTTATAAAATTATTTGAATTTTTGGGCCGGGCCGGGCCGGTCCATAGTCGGTCCCATAACCGGTCTGGTCCCGGTCCCACGAAACTATCAAAAACCTCAACCGGTCCCGATTTTCGGTCCCATAACCGGTCCTTACTGGTCCCGGGGCCGGTCCTCCGGCGGTCCCGGGCCAGGCCGAGCTGATTTGGCCATCTCTACCTGGTCCCATGAATCGCTCCAGAACATGAATTGGTCCCGCTTTCTGTTCTTATAACCGATCTTTACTAGTCCCAGACTAGACCGGTTTAACCATCACTACCGCTAAACCAAAGACCCTTTCATAACAAATTTATATTTATAATATGCTAAATCTACACCCAAAAGTGGGGGAAAAGGACCCAAGTGAAACCAATATCTTATAAAAATTTACCCTCAAACTTTATTCCTGTTCAGCTCATGGACCCATCTTTTTGACTTTGTGTCCTCATTAATACCCCATCACCAAGGCTTTCTGACAACCCATATTCAATAACCTCCCATTCATAAACAAGTAAAAAATAATCGAAACATGAACCGTTTAACCTAAAAACTAAATCCCGAAACCATGGTGGTTTAGACCAGTTATTTAGGCCTTGCTTTTTAAAAAAATAAAAAGAAATCTTATAAGTCTTTTATGTTTGATTTATTAAGAGGTAAGAGCATTTAGCCTGTTTGTTTTTTTAAAATTTCAGAGACACTTATGCCTTATTGTCCTTTTATTTGGCAAGAGATAAACCAACAGATTATTTGTCTCTTATTGTTCTCCAAACTCTAAGCAATGACGTTTCTCAGTCGATTAACCTTAATCGATCATTTCTTTCGATCGATTCTTACCGAATCGATCATTAACTCTCTCAATTGATGTATTTTAATGGGATTTAAATGTGTTAAGTACTGTTAATGGAATATTTTCGTTTAAATGAATGTTGATTATATAACTTAGATGTAAATTTCGTAATTATGATGAATAAATATGTGAAAAATATATAAATCTATCTATAAATTCAACACTATAATTTTCTAATAAATAAAATCGACATTTAACAAGATTCAAACATTTATCAGTTTACAAAAACAAACAGTCTTATTGATTTAAATTTCAGACTCCAGCACTATCTTTAAAAATAAACAGTCTTATTGAAAAGCTATTGGTGGGTTTTTAAAGAATAAAAACTCACTTTTTTTCTATTTTAAAGAAATTATTGAAGATCCCTTTTAACTTTTGACACACTTAGTTATGCCTGTAATCACTTTTGATATTCTTAGTGTTTTTGATATGAAGTTTCAAGTGTAAAAATCGTGTCTCACATAATCCCAAGTTAATATATATATATATACACACATACATATTGACATCAAATAATTTTTTAACATTTTAAAATGTAATAATATAACATTACTTTTACAATGTTTTGTTGTGAAGTTTCAAATGTAAAAATATTGTTTCACGAAAACAACCTCATCTCACATGATCCCAAGTTATATTATATATATCAACATCAAATAAATTTTGAACATTTTAAAATATAATATAACATGATTTTGAATCAAATAAGTGCACATTTACAAGACCAATGATTTTTTGTTGGTATTTGGAAAGGGAATTGGGACAAAGAAAATACCGAATCACTGTACTTTTCCCATTATTAGATAAGAAAATAATTAATAAAAAATAAAAATCACTTTTTGTCACACGGGCATGAGATTGGCAGAGCTGCAGCCATTTGTACAACCAACGATGCAGTTGGTACAACCGATTCTCCTGTTGATTCAATTCAACCTGACTTGGCTCCCTCACACTGCATTCCTTTCTTTCTTAATTTATGATTCATTCCCAATTTCTACTCTCCATTTCTCTCTCTCCGACTTTTTGGAACATTCAAACCCTTTTGATTCTTCATCGGTAAAATCCCTCTGTTTTCTCTTTCTCCCTCTCTTTCGTTGGGTGTTTCAAAAGATCGTATCATTGTTTGTTCATCACTTCAAGATTCATTTCTTCACGATCTTTTGTTCTTGATTTCTTGTGGGTTTGTTTGATTTTGGAGGAATCGAAAAGGGGTTTTATGTATCAAAACGACTCGATGATTACACAACTCTTTCTTGATCGTAAAAGTCTCTGTACTTGTACTTAAAGACTTCTTGCCTTTCGTATTCTAGAATCTGTCGTGTTTCTAGGGTTAATTACTTGATTTTCCTATTTTTGTTTGCTTTTTAGGGCTTTTAATATTCAACCCGGTTATACCCTGGTTTTGTTCTTGATGGGTTTCTAAAGTTTTCACATAAAGATTGAAGATTATGAACATTTTTTTTTATATGTTAATATGGTTTCTGGTTTTTCAGTTTGCAGGGTTTTTGAGCTTTCTTGATTAGGGTTAACAATCCATTTGGCTGAAGAATTATCGTAATTAATCAGGTTAGTTTTGCCTTTTTTTATGGCTATTTTCTGAATCTTTAAAGTGTATAATCCAGTTTGCCACCCATTATTTGGTTGCAATTAACTTTGAAATTTTGGTGTTCATGGTTGTGCTTGCATATTTGGATAATCTTGAATTGATACTGATTATTGTTCGAAAATCGCGTATCTTTTTCGTGTTCGAAAACTGCAAAAAGTCTGATTGTTGCTAGTTTATGGCTTCTTTTTATATGAATGAGGGGGAAAATGCATTAAAGTTAGGAGTTAGGAGGTGAAACTGATGGTAATTACCTTTAATTAATAGGATTGGATTAGTATAAATGTCGTATTCGGGTTAACAATTTTCATTTCGTGGGTCCGGTTTATATGATTTTGGGAGAAATTGTGACGAGAAACGTATACGGATCCATGAAATGAGAATGGAACGAAAGGATATAAACGAGCTTTCTTAAAGGACTTCCTCTTTATAGTTTGTGTTGTTGAAGGTTGTATTTGAGAAGATGAGTGACTTTTGCGACATTTGACTCTAATTGTATAATTGTATGCTCGGTTTAACGATTCACCGTTTATCAAAAAAGTGGCAAACGGTCGAGTCTTAGGCTGCCGGTTCAGAAGTTTAGCAGCTTAACGAGCTTAATATGACTCACAGCTTATTCAGTCAGCTATACATGACTGTTTGGTAGTGGCTTAATGATAGAAAGTGCCTTATTCAGCAAGCTTCTAGGAGGAGCTTTATGCAGAAAACCAAAAAAATTCCTTTCATGCCCCTTCCGGTTAAAGAACATGCTCCTTTCATCTGTGAAACAACCTTCCCAGTCTATGCTGACAGATTAATCGACACAACAACTTTATCCATCGTGGACTTAATAGAAAACCAACGGTCCCTTAGATTGCTTTAGCAGTCTGAATAGGGATTTTTAGAATGATGTAAGAAAGCATCCATTAGTTCCCTTCTATTATTTCTTAGGGGCTGTTTACTTGGTGTAGTGCTGATTGTCTCTTACCAGGTAAGAGGTGTGTTGTATACCTACACTTTTGACTAACCGAGTTGCTGACACAGTCAGCCATCGATATGTCACTGACCTAGTCGGACTGTGATACCCAAATTGTATTTAGCATTTACTCAATTTGTGCTCGGAAACGACCCTAGGAGGCTGAAACGAGCTCGGGGGCTTTATTTTTGTTCTTTACCGTATTTCTGGTGATGTGCAGCAACTGCTTATATGTTTTCTTCTTTCTTTTATGTCGATGAATAATAATCATCGTCCTTTTTCCGTTGCAAAGCAGTATGGTCGCGAAAGACCGTCAAAACAAAACAGACTCTCCGAAAGTGGAGGTTGGAGAGATCGACACTAGAGCACCGTTCCAATCCGTCAAGGATGCTGTCAATCTTTTCGGCGAAGGTGCCTTTTCGGGTGAAAAGCTCACCATCAAGAAAATAACAAAGCCTCAATCTGCTGAGGTATTTGGCTTCGTTTTCTTTGATTATTCTACTAAATTGAGATTTTAGTCCCGGGGGAAAGTTCATTTTGGAACCGTAAATATTTTAAGGTCCGTTAAAATTAACTATCCATCGATTATTCATGATGAATATGTATCTCTATATTTATGTAATTTGTGGGGAAATGTGGCCTTATGGACTATTGAATAACGTTTGTATTTTGTTTATGGATTTCTGCAGAGGGTGTTGGTGAAGGAGACGAAGCTCCACTTGGCACAAAAAGAGCTCGATAAGTTGAAGGAACGGTTGAAGATTGCCGAAACTACGAAAACCGGAGCACTTACGGAGCTCGAACGAGCTAAAAGAACCGTCGAGGATCTGACAAACAAGCTCCAGGTTATTAATGCGGCCAAAGAGATGGCAATTAAGGCGACCGAAGCCGCAAAAGATCAGGCAAAGCAACTCGATGGTGGACAAACGAACACGAATGGTTTTTTGACGCAGGATTTGGAGAACACAAAGGAACAGTATGCCGCTGTGTTTACAGAACTCGATGCTGCAAAACAAGAGTTACGGAGAATCCGCCATGATCGTGAGGCGGCCATGGAAGAGAAATCCGCTGCTATCGGGTTAGTAACAGAGGCAGAAGTTACGAGTAAAGCGAGTTTGGATCGAGCTGGTGAGATATCGAAGGAGATTATGTCTGTTCAAGAGGCTATTGAGCAGGTAAAAAGGGCGACCGTGGAAGCTCAGAAAGAGCAAGAGAAGATATACGCTGAGAAAAACGTTCAAAAACTGGCGCACAAAGCCGCACTCGAAGAATCTGCTAAGAAATTACTTGCTTTGCGGAAAGAGATCGATCCTGAAATGTCGAAAGATCTCGAAACGCAATTTGCTGAAACAACATCGGAGATCAAAAGATTGCAGACGGAAATGGAGAACGCGAGGGCTTCGGATCTTGATTCCTTGAAAAACGTCACATCGGAGCTCGATGGCGCTAAAGAGTCTTTGCAGAAAGTGGTGGAGGAAGAAGGGTCGTTAAAAAGCTTGTTGGAATCGTTAAAGATTGAGCTCGAGAATGTGAAGAAAGAGCATGAAGAACTGAAAGCGAAAGAAGCGGAAACTGAAACGGTCGCCGGAGATCTGAACGTTAAGTTGCAGAAAAGCAAGGTGGAGCTCGAAGCAGCTTGTTTGGAAGAAGCTAAAGTCAGTGGTGCTTCCGAAGAAATGATGGCGACTCTCCGGCAATTAACATTGGAGAGTGAAAACGCAAAACGGGAATCGGAAGAGATGAAGTCGGAAGCCGAAGAGTTGAAGAAGGAAGCGGCGGCCATGGGAGCTGCTTTAGAAGAAGCGGAAAATAAGCTGAGGATTGCATTACAGGAAGCCGATGAAGCGAAATCGGCCGAATCGAAAGCTCTCGAGGAGATCAAACTGATTTCCGAAAGAACCGATGCCGCACGCGCTTCAACTTCCGAATCGGGTTCGAAAATCACGATCTCGCGGGAGGAATTTGAGTCGTTGAGCAGAAAAGTGGAGGAATCGGAGAAGTTAGCAGGGATGAAAGTGGAAGCAGCAATGGCACAAGCGGAAGCGGTGAAGGCGAGCGAGAAAGAGGCGGTGAAGAAGCTGGAAGCGACGCAGAAAGAGATTGACGAAATGAAAGCGGCAACCGAGGCGGCATTGAAGCGGGCGGAGATGGCGGATGCAGCCAGGAAGGCGGTGGAGGGAGAGCTTCGAAGGTGGCGGGAGAGGGAGCAGAAGAAGGCGGAAGAAGCAGCATCGTTGATCCTTCAGGAAACGCAGATGCAGACGCCATTGTCGTTACCATCAACTCCGATCCACAAGCAGCAGATTCCGGCACAGAAACCGAAACCGAAGACAAAAAAAGTGCTCGTTAGCAACCTGAGCGGCATGTTTCAGCGGAAGAAATCTCAGGTTGACGGCGGTGGATCGTCGCCGTCTTATTTGCCCGGCGAGAAGCCGATGTAATTACTGATATTTGGTGTGGAGTGCAAGAGTGGTTGGTGTGTATATGTTGAACCAAACTTGAGAAGGAAAGCAAGATCTAGTTTTTGTCAAAGACCCAAATACGTATCGTTGACTCGGGTTTTTTTTGGTATACAAATACGAGGTTTGAACTCCAAAGTTTGTTACATTTTTGTCTTTTAATTTTTAAGAATCTCGATTTTAAACCATAAGGGTGGTACCTGATTGGTTTGAGCTTGGCTCCAAAGGTCAAAAGTACCAAAAGGTCTCATATTCAAATTCAAGAAGGAATAAAAATTCTCTTGTGGCCACGGAGGTTCAAATGCGGTAACTCCGGCTATCGGCAAAGCATGTGGTTTTCCTAGGATTAGTCGGCTCGCATAGCGGGTTGGATATCCAGGTTAATCAAAAAAGAATCTCGATTTTATCGTCATCATCGAGTCGAGTCTTTTTCGTTAAATGAAAGATTTTTCCGCTCTTTCATCCATTTTTTAACTCGATCAAAAACCACAAGGACCAAAGTCATATAAATGATTTGATTGGGTAAAATACAAAAGAATAATAAAAAAGACGAAAATACCCCTTATTTAACGGAGTTTTCAGTGAGCGTTAAAGGAAATGATCGAATCTATTTAGACTGTTTTTATAGACCATGATGACGATTTTGTAATTTTAAAACTGTGAAAACAAAAAAACCATTGATTTTGACAACTTGTTATATGTAACCCGGCATATACCGAACTAATTGTATACAAGAAAAGCAGTTTCTATTATAATTGATAAGGTGTGGGTCACGGAACCTTTTATGATTTTTTGTATTAAAATTTAATATTTAATTATTATTTATACTATATTATAAAGTTTTTTATATATTACTGTTTATTAATGTATATTATTTAAAATTTATGATTATAAATAAATTATGTATAAGTACAACTTATTAAAGTTTCATATTTGAATTCGTGTAACTAAATACAGATAAACATAATCAAATAAAAGATAAATATCTCATTTTTTTTTAAATATAAAAAATATAAAAATATAATTAAGATAATTATTGAATTCTAACAAAATATTTAATTATTATCTTTATTAAAATTATATTATTAAACCACAAAAAATAATTAAAAAAATACACAAAGTGAAAATTTTAAGTTGTTAGGTATCAATATCAACATTCTTTTTTCATTTTTTTTATGAAACAAAAAAATAAAATAAAATATTAAAATCGAGATGTATTTCAATATATTATGTGAGTATCATTTTAATTTTTATTAAAAAATTTAAATGCAAAGGAATCAAGTGCAAATTATGTTTCTTGACCTTATGTTTGTCAAAAATTAGCGAGATTCATCCTTATGATCTAGAAATCATAATTTTCATCTATATGGTTTGTAATTTATTGATATTTTTGTTTTTTTAGTTTATATTTATCGTTGTTTTGGTTTGTGTTGTTTGCAATCTTTTACTGTTTTAGTCCCCTGTACTGTATAAGCCGGAATTAGTTCAGCGACGAAATAGCAATAAATTACAAATATAGAGATGAATATAGAAACTTTTAAACCACAGGGACTAAAATCGTAATTTACTCAAGGATTAAAGAAAAAGATTTTATATCAGTCTCGATTCTTACTCAGACAGTTGAACCACCAGACTGGATATCCAACACCCTTTGTTTTTTTCTTTGGGGAATTTTGTCGGACACTTTGATGGCAAGCAATAGAGACGAGCCTCTGACCTTCTTGAACGTATCAACGTCTTCTTCTGTAGTTGTTTCTGAAGGAGACAGTTCTCAGATTGGGAGTGCTTCTGGAAGTTTTCAGAACGAGGGATTCTTGGGTGGCTTTGATGGCGGCGATGAAGATTTCGGATTCTCGCGATCTGAGTTCCGGCAGAGTCTTCTTGTAGGAACTGTCAAGTACTACGAACGCCATGTGTTTTTGTGCTACAAGAAACCGCAAGTGTGGCCTCCTCGGATCGAAGCTGCTGAGTTTGATCGGTTGCCGAGGCTTTTGTCTGCTGCTCTCACCTCCAGGAAGGGTGACATGAAGAGGCAGGTTGGATTTCAGGGTTTTACTTTACTGGTTTGTTTGTATTTTAGGGTTTTGTTCTCCTTTTAACTTCGCTGTTATGATTAATGGCGGCCAGTTCTATACATTCCTTTAGTTACTGTTTATTTCATTTGATCTTGAAACTGATTCTGATGCGCGATATGAATTTCCACTCTTCAAGTACAGACTACAGAGGAAACTTTTTCTTGAACCGATTTCTGGTATCTGATAACTACAACTTTTCAGCACATCTAGGGCTCGGCTTCTTGCTATGTGACGCATATATGTAGTTGGTAATTGCTTATAATGCTAATACTCGATGAGTTTGGTACCTTTTGGTGATTAACAACCCAGTTCCTGATTACTTTCAAGCTTGTTCTATATTTTTTTTCTTTTTCTTCAGAGAAAAGGTTTCCAGGATTATATGGATTACTTTCCAAAGATACGAGTTTGAGTACTCCCCTTATTTATTTGCGCTGTTGACAATACTTGAAAGAAATCTTTTCCGTAAACTTGCAAGATATACTACAACATTAAGCAATACATTTTCGCTATACATATGTTGGCACAGGATCAGGATGAAATGAAAAGAAAACATGCATATTCCAAATGCTGGCTGGAAGCCTGGAATTTTTAAACTATGTTTGGCACTTCAGCTTTTGCAACTGCTTAACACGGCTTGTGTCATTTATTGTTTCTGTGTTCTTTTTTTCCAAGTATAGCACATGTTAATTATTATTTTTCTTGCTTACTGATGACTGTTTATTTGTTCAACCTTGTCTATCACTCTCCTTTCACAAGACCCGCCTGACTATATGTGAGGGGCATGATGGAACTGAGACATCCAATGGAGATGTTTTGATCTTTCCAGACATGATCAGATACAGGTGAATCTATAACCACTCTATATGATCGTCATATTCTTTATAATTTTGTTGGTAGTTGAGGTATGCATGACAACTGATCAATTTGACAAAATGCAGGCGGCTGACACATTTTGACGTCGACACATTTGTGGAAGAAGTTCTTGTAAAAGATGGTGAATGGTTGCCTGGAAGTCCTGAAGCACTAAGAGGATCATACATTTTTGTATGTGCTCATGGTGCAAGGGACAAAAGATGTGGTATCTGTGGGCCTGCACTTGTTTCTAGATTTAAAGACGAAATAGAATTGCGTGGTCATCAAAGTAAAGTGTCTGTTCGGCCATGCTCGCACATTGGGGGCCATAAGTATGCAGGAAACGTGATTATATTTGGATCAAACAACCATGGGAAAGTGACGGGTCATTGGTAAGGAGGATTCCTATATGTTCATACATATAATACTGAGCTACCTGCTTTCATCCTTCTCATTTCTTCTTTTCTATGTTGGATTTTTCTTGATCTATTGAAATTGTAAAATAGTTATTGTCAGAGGAGTTATGAGTTATAATCTTTCACAGGTATGGATATGTTATGCCTGATGATGTACCCACATTGCTTGAACAACACATTGAGAAAGGTGAAATTGTAGACTGGCTTTGGAGGTAACTATCATCATATCCCAGTGTCTTTTTAGCTCTCGTAGTCATTACTCCATCTAGGAAAATGTAACTCAAACAAAATTGACTAAAATAGCGTTGACTTGACTTGGAGGATCTTTTTAATTATTCTTTTAATCGGTGAAAAGGGGGGTCGTACTGTGACCTCCAAGGCATCACCTCACAAAAGTGCACTGGATACCATTCAAGCTATAAACACTATGATAGGAAGATCATTCTGGTGTGGTCAAGTTGAGAAGATTTTGCATTTCTCCACCACTGGGCAAATGATGATCAGAATTCCAGTTGTATTGACTACCATCAATGCATACTTGATAAGAATGTTAGAGCCTGGATTTACATGATTAGTGACCATGACATTTGGCCTAGGTGTAGTAACAAAAAGTTTCCTTGCACTCTGGAGACACTAACGTTTTCTTTCTATGTTTCATGTAAAAATATAATTTGCATTTAAAAATGTTCGTTTTACAAAAAATAGGGAACTCTAAGTTCAAGTTCCTAAGCTTGGTTTTTGTTTTTAGAACAGTTTTGCGACACTGATTTCACATTAAAAATTGTGGTTTCCATCCGGCCTTAATTATGTAGGGTTTTGAAACCTCATCAACTACATCCTCATCCTTCTCGCCTTTTTGTTGTTGAACCTTTGATGATCTGAATCCATTTTCTCATATGTTCTAACAATTTTGTAATCTTCTGCATAGTACCTCTATTTCTCCCACAGAATACATATTTTTCTCATAATATAAGCAGCAAATGCTTTAGCCACATGCTATTCTTCCTTCTAGATGTTAAAAGAATTGAGGAGAAATATGTGACTCTTGTGTTAGACAAAATTCTTTGCTGTCCAAGTATCCATTAGTTTTTGTGTCCTTTTCAACAACTATGTAAAGTATTGCAGGGCGACTATCTGCTAATCGCAAATATCTTTTCCATGTGACAGTTTTGTTTCTCCATTTCTATGACAAAGTGAACTTTGGTCCGACAGTATCAATGGATCTCTACATCCTTTAGGCTATGAGTTCAAGTCTCTTAGAGACATTAGTGTATTAGTTATTTTACAATAATTATGGTAATCTAGGGAACTGGGATAACTCAAATGCATGTTGCTGCTGATGATTCTAGTATGCCAAATAGCTTGCCCACTCCCAAGGCTTGAATCGTATATTTTATCTTCTTTATGCTGACTGATGGCCAACTCTCAAAGCGAAACCATAAATATGTGTATATATATTATCGGATCATCGGTTTTTCTTAATTAGTTGCTTAATGATATAATCTATTGGGTCCCACACATATGAATATGGCTAATCATCAACTCAATTGGACGTCTATGGCACGTTTAAAAAATGCAAATTTCTGAAATGGGTATCAAAAGAAAGACACTCAATGGGCAGCCTAGATGATCACAAGAGGACAAGCATGACCAAGGGACAGAAAAAATGTGATGTCCATGTGAAGCTAGACATATCTGGATCGCTGTTTATAAACTTTCTCTAGTTGGGTAGAGATGGATAGACAAACTGATGTATTCCATGTGAAAGACTGAATCTTTATCTAGCTATATAATGATTAACACCATAGATAGTGAGTGCCTAGGCTTTAAGGAGCCCACCATTTCACATAAATTACCAACTACACTCAAACTTCAAAGGGTGTAGTAGCATTAGAGGTTTCTGGCTCTTGGAATCGTGGAAAATTCCCGGATACATTTTGAAGATTTTGTTTTCTTCAGGGGACAGATGGGTCTATCCGAAGACGACCAAAAGAAAGCCCAAGAACAAAGGGTTATAGCGAACGGTGGTGGCAACATGGACCAAAGCTTAAAAGATTCAGCACCACACACAGATGAGATTTATAGTCATCCAGATGGATCCCAGGTGGAGGATGCTGGTTGTTGTCAGGCCAACGAAAGTTCCACCTGCTGCCGCAGTCCTAAACTGCCTGAAAATCCGGCAAATTTCAATCTTGATACCAAAGAGAAGAGAAAGGGAAGCAAGAATCAAATTTCTATCAACGTTGGTAACGGAGGTTCTGCACCACATAAGGTATGCACCATGCCAACATGGCTCGAGACCTGGGAGAGCGAAGATGTATATGCAGCTCTCGCACTTATTGGTGCTGCGGTCTCGGTTGCGGTTGCGTATAACTGCTACAGACAGTTGGGCTAATTGTGTTTTTTTCCGTATTTTTAATGCATGTTTGTGAAATATCCATGTTTTTGCATATGTTAAGATTAAATATGAATGCAATTAAGGTAGAAAATATGTGTCAGAATCAGGTATTATTTTCCTGATTCTTTGCTAGTTTGCTCCACTGCTGCTGGATTTGCAATTTGAATAAATTTGCCTATTTTTCCAATTCTTAAGAGGCTTTTGTAAGTGAACCTTGATGATAAATTATACCAACTACTGTCTACCTATTTCCGCTTTATTAAAGCATGCAAGTTGCAACTAGAGATGCACAAAAAGGGGCTTGGACCTAGTGAGCCTGGAGCGTGGTCCGAGACTCCGAGCCAGGCCTCAAAGCCCAATCAGGCCGAAAATTTGAGGGGTGGCCGAAGAAGCTCGGTTAAGCCCGAAAAATCCTGGCCGGGCCCTTTTTCAACCCCAAAGCCCGTCCCAGCCTTGACCTTAAAACCCGATCTTTTTTTAGCTTGCTGAAAACAGGTTTGAAAGCTCTGACCAAGTCCTGAAAAACCCCTTACTTTGTGCATCTCTACCTTCCACTAGCACCAACTTCCACTTTTAGGGATTTTTTCTACCATGAAGGTTCAGGTCACTTGCTATATAAAGGGAGATAAGTAATAAGGTTTTTGTAAACACAACCTACTTGTAGGGTTGGGTTTACGTGAGATCAGCTTGTTTTCGTGAGACCTGTGGGACCAAAAGATAGCACTGAAACTTCTCAGCAAAACATTGTAAAAGTGATCAAAACTTCACAACAAAAACACTGTAATTTTTTTTATCTTTACAATGTTTTGATGTGAAGGTTCAGTGTTATTTGCATGGTCTCACGGTTCTTATGAAAACAAATTGTTCTCACATAATATCCCAAGTTACCTTTATCCTACTTGTAAGCTACAATACTAAAATTGAGGTGTTATAGATTCTACTCAAAGTTCAGTATAGAACTTCATAGTGAATCTTGATTTGGGGCTTGGGGTCCGTATAAACAGAACTTTTTAATTACCTCGGTTGTGGCACATTGGTTAAGGATAAGAGAAAATGCAGTGAGAATGTCATTTTCCCAATGTTCAAAGCAAGGCATTGCCAAAGCTCTCGTGGCCATGGAGATTCACCTCCGATGGCTCTAGGTCATTCGAGGGATTAATCGGTACGTATAAGCTGTCCTAATTACCTAAAAAATAAAAAGAAAGGTCCGTAGAGAAACAAAAGAGAAAATTGTTTCGAAGATTAAATCATGAGACTACAATAGAGATGGTAAAAATGCATAACCTTATTGAGCTTCATTGTTCATGGCTATATTCGACTTTCAAGGTCAAAAATACTATTTTTTTTCGTTCCATTTCGGGCCAACGAAACGAGTTAATAAAATTACAACATAGAGTTACAAAATATATGGAAAATAATCGTATACTTAAAAACAAGAAGATAACAACATTCTGGTTCAGATATGCACCAGTTTCTCCGCATTAGTTTCCTTGAGATGTTGATCTCCATTTGACTTGAGGTCATCTTGTTCATCAGTAAACCCATTCTGGTTCTCCAGTTTATGAAACTCGGTTTCTATAGTTCGAGCAATTTTATAGTTGGTTAGGTCAGGTTCAGGGAAACCCACATGAAATGAACCTTGCTTAACCGGGGCTCGTGGCTTTATGCCTGCAGCTTGCTGGTTCGTGTAGTTATAGAGCTGCTGGTGAAACCCGTGGTCCAAAGAGAAACAACAATCATCACCTATGGTGTTTTTAGCGTGCCGTGATGATCCGGACCCTTGTCTTCTACAAAAATGTGGTAGAGATTCGTAATCCATTATCTGCCCATTTCGAGAAAATGTAGATCTTGTTAAGAATGTTGCAACAAATTCTCGAGTTCTTGAGTTGCACTCAAGAAATCTTTAAAGACTGAGATTACCTTCAGTAAGTCATCTTTACCGCAACCCGAAAGCACCTGAACTTTCTTTCGTGTTCTTTCTTGCAAAAGTGGCTTCACAACCTGCAAAGATTCAAACTTCCAGGTTGTAAGAAAATATGTCGAACGCCATTGGATTACTCTCCAAACGAGGTCTTGAGGAGATAATCGATATTCCAACATACATAGATGTGAGAAATGGTTGTGGGACACCAACATGCCCCCTCCAATGGAGGCCTAGACGACACCAATTTGCTCCAAAATGTCGAAAGGGGGCTAGACGGTAGAGATTGCCCCTAGAGTGTCGAGTCCCTAGAGTCGGTATAGATTGCCCCAGAGTGGCAAACCTTGGTTCTGATACCATGTTAGAAAATATGTGGAACTTCATTAGATTACTCTTCAAAAGAGCTCTTGACAAGAAAAAGGAGGTTCCACATATATGGAGTCGAAATGGTCCAAGTCTAGCCGATGTAAGACTCCAACACGTCCCCTCCAATAGAGGCTAAACGGGCACAAAATTATCTCCAGAATGTGGAGAGGGGGCTAGACGGTACAAATTGCCCCAAAGTGGCAAACCTTGCCTCTAATACCATGTTGGAAAATGTGGGGAACCTCATTAGATCACTCTCCAAAAGAGCTCTTGACGAAAAAAGGAAGGTTCCAACATATGTAGATGAGAAATGGTCCAGTCTAGCCAAAGTGAGACTCTAACTCAGGTATCCAACAAAAACCCAGCATCTTTCATTAAAGATGAAGAGAAAGGGCAAACCTTCCAGCATGCTGAAAATACATATGGGGCATTGACAATATAGTAAGTATCGGTCTTCTCCGGGTAGTTCAAGTCATCGATACTAGATATAACCGTCAATAGCTGCAACAAATTAGTCGAAGAAACTGTGTTAGTTCCATAACGGGTTTCTTAAAATATACTAAAGAAGGCAATGGCATCCCCATTAGAATGTTCCAGGTTCATTGGTACAGTTTCGAGTATGATCGTAGCATCAAATCTGCTAAAATTGTGACTACAGTCTCAATAGACCACAAAATCTTTCACTGGTACAAGATTAACCAAACGAAATCAAATAATCCCAGTATATCCCATCCGGAGGGTGGGTTGGGGGTAAGATGCATGCAAACCTGACATCTATCCTAAAGAGTAAAGTGGTTGTTTCTATGAAGACACCTGGCTAATAAAAAGTGTGAAATGAAGAAATACAGATATGCTAAATTTTTTGAAAGCTAAGCAGTTGCAATACAAATAGAAAGAGAGAAAGGGTATGTTTCTTAGCAGCTTAATGAGCTTAATGGGACTCACAGCTTATTCGGTCAGCCATACATGACTATTTGATAGTGGCTTAATAATATAGAAAGTGGCTTATTCAGTAAGCTTCTGGAAGGAGGTTTGTTTTTCCAAACATGTCTTTCCCAATTAAAGAACACGTTCTTTTCATCTAAGGAAAAACTCTCCTAAACAAAAACCTTCCCGATCTACCCAGACATGATTTACAGAGGACATAATGGAAAACCAACCAAACAGATATATGCTAAATTTTGAGAAACTAGATACGAGTAAACAACAACAATATAAATAGAAGCTAGAACAGTACCTTAATTTGATTGAGATGCGAAAGTTTGAGCCCGGTCATATCGAGAACCTTGACACAAGTACTTATATGTCGCTCAAACTTTCTCGTTGCAGATGGCTACAACGAAAGGAGAGTCAGACATTTTAAAATTCTACGTAGATGTATGTACTTGAAACTATTATCGTATTTTGTACTTACCATTATCACGCGGTCTCTGTATTCATTTATCTGGATGTGCGATTGAACATAGCAATGAATCTAAAATAGAAGCGAAAAAACACCAAGGAACATAGTAATCAATCTAATAAAATAGAAGAGAAGAAAACCAACTAAATGTAACATAATACAAAAATATTTACATTTAAACTAATAAATGCACGGGCCCACATTTGTTGTCCCACGTTAGAGTTGGACAGGACAGATTGGGACAAAAATGTAGCTTTGTTGTCCCACCAAAATAGGTGGAACAAAATTAGGAAGATAGAACAAGATTGATAAATCCCTAAACTTGTCAAATTGAAACCCTAAAACCTTCCATAATCCTTTCACCCGCCTACCTGACTCTTGCTTGTCGAGTCCAATCCTGTCTACATAGCAAACGCACCCTAAGAGAACTCGGAATTGTCATACACTGTAATAATACTTAAACACTAGCCTTTACCAAGATCAAAATACGGATACACCCTCTTTTTCCAGTGACCAATTTTTCTTTTAGAACACGTAAAAGTTGCAACAACCTTAAGCTCTAAAACCATTTTGGCGCTATAAGATAAGAGCATTGAGCAACTTCTAGTTACTGTTAATGTAAGAATTGTGCAAAAGATGTATCACACACATCCGGTTTTCATCTTGAACCAAAACTAAGAAGTATAAGCAGATAATTGAAAGAAAGAAAGGGCACGATATCCTTACAGATGCTTTGTCGTAAGTGCTGAGCCCCACGCCAATGGCAATCACAGGTCGACCCTAGATAGTTTGTCAAGAAACCCGAGAAGCATCAGTTAAGATCAAATTCGTATCTTTAAAAAACTAGCAAGTCATATATATGGATACAAAGGAAACAAATGGGGTATCAGCCTATTGTAAACAGAATACATCTTTTGTGTAACCCGACATCCCTATAAGCTGCGAGTCGCGGACTGATCTATAAAACTCAGCAGGAATGATTGGTTTCTGTGAATATAAGCAGAAAGTTAGAAATGAAGTTAAATAATATCGATAACATTAAAACATGTAAAGTTCTATGCACAAAACTCACCCATAATATTTTGTCAATCTCATTTTCAATCCTCCAATTTAGACAATCAACAAGCTGAAAAGCCAAGATTCATCAGCAGAGGCATCTAATGTGATTAATGAGTTTGAAGTTTCAACCGGAATGAGTTTGATTTAACCATTTTATGGGATTTGGATATGTTTCCATCTCGTGCTTTTAAGAACCGGATCGCAGTCTCAGATGGATATCCTTGATGCAAATTCTGGAAATGAAGATGATATGAGAACGGTTAATAATATAGCATTGTTGGTGATTTTAGTGAAATCATCGATGGTTCATTTTATGTAATTGGATTCACAGAGAGAGTACGTGGTGGTTATTTAAGATATAACAGGGGCTAGGAGGTGTGGAGTGCACACTTGTGTAAGCTAACTAAAACCCGGGACTATTGGATGGTTTGTTACGGTGAATTTCCAAGTCACTGATGGTTTGCTACAGGATTGCCACGTGTGTTCAGCTCTATCTAGCTGAAGATTTGCCACTAATTTGTACTTGTCTAATGTATAACCAACTGCTCCTTGTTTTCAACAATCATTTCCATTAATATAGGAGCAGTTACAATTCTCTAAGTTTAAAAAGGAACCAAAATGACTGAAAATTTAAGATTATCCTCAACTGAATTTTGTGATACCCGGGCAGTTTTTGGTTGAAATATCACTTAAGGAAAGCAAGCTCTGACAAGATCTCAAGCTTTATCAAATTTCTTTATTCACGATTTTCTCACTGATCCCCATAAATCCCCCAACAAGCACCACCATGTTTGAGGGATTAGAAGCATCAATTTAGCATGACCAATGAACAGTCGAAGAACACCGTTGTAATTTCTATATGAACTCGAATCAAGCTTCAGTTAGCAGCCATGATCATTGAACAAACCTGTGACCACCTAAAAACATTCAATCACACACACTACCTACTTTCTCAAACAAACAACCTACAAATTGGAAGTTTATACACGATTTGTTGTGCTAGGATTTGATGTAAATAGTTCGTTTCACGAAACGAATCCATTGCTGATCTCCGATTGGAATTTAGTGGTTCAGATCAAGAAAAACGATTGAAAAATGAAAAAGGGGATCGCAGTTTTCAGTCAACAGATACTATGAACTACAAAGAGCAGATCGAAACAAAATGGAGATTGCAGAAATCGAACCTCGAATGTGATCTTGAGTGGCTCGTCAACTGCAGCAACAAATTTGAACATAAATCACCAAAAACAAAATTTGAAAAAAAAAAGTCAAATCGAAGACAAATGTGAGGGTTTCTAGAGAGAGAAAGACCAACTTGTTTCAGCTAAATTCTGGAATTGCTTGATCATATCCTGGGTTATGATAACCATTTTTCCTCTTCCTGTAGCAGTAAATCTGCTCTCAGAATCCAACCCTAGTTTAAAACACTTCAATTTTCATGAATTTGATCTACACATTCAATTCATCAACCCATCTACGTGAATGAGAGAGAGAGAGAATGTGGGGATGACTGTGAAGTGCTGCAGAGAAGTGGTTGACATGCGCATCCACATATACTGGAGGGATAGGAGGAACCTAATGGCGGAAAATTTGAAGCATTTTAAAGTAGGAAATGCTTCTCTCCCATCTCTTCAAATTTTAATCTACAAAAAGGGAAATTTTGACTTCCTATGCTCATTACGCCTAATATATCTTACTTATGCTTAATATTTCCACCGTTTGTATTAAAATGTATGTTAACGAGCAAATTGTATGAAAAAATTATATTTCATTTTGCACTATGACATAAGAGCATCTTAATCATTATGATCATTTAATCATTCTGCACCAAATCATTCAGCAATTATCAAACAGCTTCTAACTTGAAAAAGGGGGGGGGGGGGGGGGTGTTAAGAAGAAAATCATTTTTCATATTTTTGAACATGAGAGAAAGGAAAGATGATTTTTTTTACAAATATACCCTTTAAAAATACGTTATTTGTTATGAAAAGTTGGGTAGTTTTGTAATTTAGTAATCCTTTTTAAAAGGGTTTTAATTTTTTTTCTTTCCTTTCCTTTCCTTTCCTCCCACGTTTGAAAGGAAAGTTTTGGGATGAAACTTGTGATTTATTTCTTTATGTTTCCTTTTCTTTCTCTCATTAAAAGGTTTTGAGAACACATGTTTTTTTTTACTTTCCTCCCTTTCCTTTGTAAGGAAGTTGGATAAATTTTCAAGATACGTAAAGGAAAGATTGTGTAATCATCATTGGACGATCGTAAGGCCATTAATTTCTGTTAACTCAGATTGATATCATTTTTAAAGTTTCTTTTTTCAAAATCTATATCATTAATTTCTTGTGAGTACCGCTACACAGTTTTAAGATCATAATTTTTAACTTGTAACTGAGACTCAAAGGGTGTTTGTTTAGAGGTATTAAACAGTAATAAATGAGAATGAAAATGAAAGAAACTGTTTGATTTTCTATAATATAGTGGGTTCATTCCTTCATAAGCCCAAAATTTCATCACTGGTTAAACTGAGGGGAATGGAAATTCATTCTTATTTTCATTCCTTGTTATTTTTATTTTCATTCACATTTTTATTACTCGGTATTAGCTATACAAACCCTTATCTTTTTAAAGATCTACATGCAAAAAAAAAAAGAACTGGTTTCTATTGAGCAACCCCACCCTGTAAACATCGTTACACAATCGTCAAACCATAATTTTCACTCCTAATTCAAATCAAGATGGGTTTTTTTTTTCTTTCAAAATCTACATGTTAATAAATTTTGGATTTCTATCAAGCGACCATCATGTGACAATTGTCTCAAGATATTAAAGACGATGATAATGATGATGAGCTTCAAACATTGTTATGAAAAATCGAGTTGTCATGGTAACATCAGCTTCTACAAGAGAAGATAGGAGAGAGTATTAATAAGACATAAACAAAAATAGAACCAAAAGGCCTTTGACCTAGCGGTATCGTAACATTTGGCCTCCTAAGAGGTCAGGGGTTTAAACTTCATCAAAAGTTTTGATGAAGTTTAAACCCTTGACCTCCTGAAAGGTCGGAGACTCGCATACTGTTACACCAAAGGGTCTTTGGTATATTTAACATATGTTGTATGTTGAGGCATCAGTTCCTTTACAAAATGGTTTTACTATTTGATTAAAAGAAGCATAAAGACGAACTTTGCATATAATTTGATGCATTTCCGTACTTTAAACATAATTATTCCAAATGTTATTTTAGATTCTCCTTAAATTATTTCATCATGACTTCTTGAAAATCAAATTTCAAAACTCCCAAAAATATTCAACTTTTTTAGTGTGTCGCACCATACTACCACCCACGTCTTTATCTTTTTTTTCTTTCTTTTCCTAAAGGGTATGCATATATATATATATATATATATATATATATATATATATATAGACTTGGGATCATGTGAGATCAGCCTGTTTTCGTGAGACCCGTGAGACCAGCATTTTACACGTAAACTTCACAGCAAAAATGCTGTGAAGGTGACTTTTTAAAACCTTCACAGTGTTTTTGCTGTGAAGTTTATGTGTAAAATGCTAGTCTCACGGGTCTTACGAAAACAGGCTGATCTCACGTAAACCTATATATATATATATATATATATATATATATATATATATATATGAAATATATAAATATAGGGTCGGATTTAGGTTCAGAGAAAAATCGTAAAATTGAAAATTTGACGGGTGTTTTGGTAACCGTTTATCTAAACAGTTTGTACACATGCATATAAGTAATTTCTAAGCAATATACTCAGTATGTATATGTGCATAGAAATCAAGAAACATGTTCAATTGCTTGTATGTATGCATGCTTATCATAGAGATGAACGAGTGTTCCTCAGTTTTTTATTTTATGGGATTTTTTCCTGAACCTCCCTCCCCCTCTCTCTCTTTATATATACACATACACACATATGGAGTTTCATATACAAACTCTTTAATTAATATAAATCTATAAACCAATCTTAACCTTTTCAAAATTAAAATAAATTCCGTCATCTATTTTAATTTTGAAAAGACATTCTACTACTGGAGGAACAATATCATTATATTATTATAACCATAATTATAAAAATCCTTTTTGTGGTCATGGTTATTCAAATGCGATGACTTCAGGCTACCTATAAAACAAGTGATCGAGTGATCGTCCTAGAATTAGTTGGTTTGCGTGTTGGATATTTAAATTAATAAAAAAACCAAATATTTAACATATCAGTTACATCATTAAAAGTGGGCATTGATTGTCTATTAAATAAGTCGACCATATTTTCAACCCATTTTCGACATTTAATTAATTTTTATTTTATTTTATTAGTTTGACCAATATAAAACACAATACGAATAACGAATTAACTAACTAGTTTTGATATAAATGACTTGAAATTCTCTATAATATATTATAATTATACCCAAATTAAAAAGTATATATAATTTTAATCATGTGATTAATGGTGTTCAGTATTCTTTTTTTTTTTCTTCCAAAAGTAGGTAGCATCCATAATCATAGAAATGGACATTTGTAATTTATTTTTATAAATTTTGAACCAAAAAAAAAATTATATAGATGTCGATTCGAAAAAGATGCCCATTATATGCAAATGATAGTTATGGCGATAACGATGGCGGACAGGACGGCCCGTTGACATCGTAATCAACCCAATTTACCCGTGAATTATCTTTCAACAAAATAATTTAGATATTCTTATTTATAAAAAAGTAGGTGAAATATTATTAGTTAAATTATACTCTAATTTCTAGTTATAATATTATATTATATTATAATATAAACTAATCTAATTTCTAAATTATAATATTGACTACGGTATATGATCATTACTCAAACGTTTTTTATATTAAATATTGAAAGAAAGATGTTTAAATGAAGGGTGTTCATAGGTTAGGTTGATCGGTTAACCGTAATAAATCTCAAAGTGTCAACGTTATTATTTTAGTTTATCCCAAAATAAGTATCTACTGTAATGACTTATTTTGGAACGAAGTAACACAAAGCTAGGATCAAGAAATTGAAAGAAAGTGTGCTTTACATAAACTATGGTTATTGAACCAGTGATTGTATGGTTTAAAAAGTATAAGAAAGATGTAGATCTGAAAGAGCAACATATTGGGTGTGTAAAGGATACTGGTTTCTAATCTTTTCCAAGATACATCCAAAGATCTACACAATTGGAACCGAAAGGGTGCACATGGTTAGACCTACTTATTCAACATTTTTATTCTATACACATGGTTACACATATTTATTCAACAAAAAAGCATTAGGCTCTCATTAGCTTATCATGCATAATCTACCACATGCCCCTCTTTCTATATAGTTATATATGGGGTCGGGTTTAGGAAAAAAATCCTTTAAAATTTTTAAAAACTGAGGAATATTCAGGTAAGCATTTATCTGTACGATATGAACATATACATGCAAGTAATTAAAGTTGTTTCTTGATTTCTATGCACGTGTGTATATTATACACATGTACATACTGTATAAATAAACGGTTACCAGGATGTTCCTCAGTTTTTCATTTTTTTTTTTTCCCCTTAACCTGACTCTCTCTCTCTCTCTCTCTATATATATATATATACACACACATATGTATATATATATATAGAATTTATGGAGAGAATGGATCTTCACCTTGGATCAATCTTAATTGAAGACCAATAGTAATAGGATACACCAGATCAATCTTTTTTAAAGATCAATAGTAATAGGATATTATGATACACTAGATCAATTCTCGTGAGAAATGCAATTCATAGGATACGGTAAGATTAAAAGTGATCAAGAGTCCATATTTCTTCTTATGTTTCTCATCTTAACTTCCGGTCTCACATGATCCTTCGTCTTTCTCTCTCTCTCTCTCTCTCTCTATATATATATATATATATATATATGGCTAATCATTTGAAAACACTAAGATCCAATATATCATGTGTTATTTCTTGATATAGGTTTTTCCATCAAAGACTAGGATTTAGAGTATTGATTAACATATATAATATAAAACTTTTGGTATGTTTGTTTCTTTGTGAAACTAAAAATACACGTAAAAATGTCTCATATTGTGAACCGAATAAATATGAAACAAACATATTTTTGAAACTAATATATACTAATCAATACATTAAATACTAGCCTTTGATGGAATAAAATCATGTGAAACAATATCTTAAGATAAAATCTCCCACAATTCTCACAATATATAAGGTTATCATTTGATTATGCCAACATATTTATATTATATATATATATGTGTGTGTATGTATGCATGTATGCATGAATGACTGAACTCTAACAAATTCAAGCATCTCAATGCATGAATGACTGAAATTTAACAAATTCAAGCATATGAAGGTGTGTGAAGGTAGGTGACGGTGAAAGGTCCACATTTTTTGTGAAACACCATAAATGTAAATGAGGACCCACATTTTTATGAGCCAATCAGATCAAAAATGTCTCATCCAAAGACTCAGAAGGGTTCACACTGCTCTCGCAGTAGTTTCACATTTTGAGCTTCGTGGTAAGATACTTTACGCTTACGGGGAAAAAAGGCAAGTCGAGCCTTTATTCGTGTTCGACCCCATGACACCATGTACGTCGATAACAAAATGGTCACATGGGTATGATAGATTATGACGGATGCATCTATACCCAGATGCCAAAAGTTTCATTCTTGATTGACATCCTCTATCGAAGTTTTATGGGTTCTTACTGTAACAAGAAAAAGGGGGAAAAGAAAGAATATCATCTGTTCAAATCATTATAGAGATGGAATCTTGAACACATGCCCCTTGGTGGCCTCCTCATTTCAGCACTAACAAGAATATGTCTTTTGACTCTGTTAAAATAGTCCCAAATCTCAGAAACTAGGGGGCGTTCATTTGAGAACCATAAAATTATGATAACCTTGAGAACCAGTGTATCATGGCTATTTTACATGATCTTTTTCATCTGTGGCTTGGATTTAGTGTATTGATTAACATATATTCGTTTCACAATATGAATAACTTTTATGTGTTTGTGAAACAAAAAGCACAACTAAAAAGTTTCACATTGTTATGAACCATATACATATGAAACAAACATTGTGAATCAAATATACGTCATTAATATATTAAATGTTAGCCTTAGATGAAAAACATCATATGGACAATGCCTTACAATAATAATTCTCACAGTTATCAAAGTATATGAGGTTCTCATTTGATTACGTCCCTATATATGTATACATATATATATATATGGTCCGGTTCAAATAAGAAGCTAAATATCATGAAAAGGTAAGAAAAGAAGGTTCATATGTGAATCATTGAAAAAGTCTATTTGAAAATGCATATGTGAACTAATGTTACAGATTATTCATATGGGTTCACGCATACGTTTTCAAATGGGTTTTTCAATTATTCACATATAAACCTTCTCCTCACCTTCTCCTGATATTTTAGCCTTTTTATTTGAAGTTCCCACTACATATGTGTGTGTGTGTGTATAAAACAACTTGCATTCATGTTTAAGATGATACTATTTTCAGGATAACAATAGGTTTTCATGTCAATGTGTGTGCAACAACATCACTATAAATATATTCACATTTCATTTCTTGTAAAATTGATAAATGGTACTCACATTCTTTCAGCCTCTCGAGCCGCCCCGTTTCTGGAGCCAATGAATGAATGATGATCGACCTCCCTACACGTAACAATCAGATATAGACATGAGTAATACACCACTTACTGAAAACCGAGTATCATCCACTAAAATCTTTTTTCCAAAGATTGAAAGGAACATATTCCCTTTGGTTTTCAATGAGAGATTCTCATCACAAGTTTCTTTTTTTCCAAATGCAGAAAAGGACCACAAATCCCTCAATCATTCCATTGGCCACTACAAGTATATATTTGCATTATGGGCATTGGGTAGTGCCAATGAAACCAGAAAGTTTTTAAATTATATCATTCATGATTCCAAATAAATGTAACAATTTTCAAATATAACACATTTTATAAATAATTTTTCAATATCCTTTTCCTTCGATTTTGTTATCAAGTAGAAATCATTACACTCTTTATAGTACATAAAAAATATATACAAAATGAAACATAATTGCTAGCAAGCAAAATCGCAGTAGTCATGATACAGGAAAAAGGAAATTTAAAGTTTCAATGAAAACATGACGAATTTGGTCATTAATATGCATACCAAAAGCAAAGAAGTTGAAGCTTTTGCAGTACAGAACAGATTTTGCACAAGTTCTTCAAAGAACACAGGGCGAATAGCATTCTCAAGCCATTATAGTTGGCATGATATACTTCTAAAAAATGCAAAACAAGCATTAAACTTTGTATGTATGCATGAAAAAAGCATTAAGTTGGCAAAATTGCGTAAAATTAATCATCATACTCACTAACTTTTGGTGCAATCACAAGAGCATTAGCCATGAAGACCTGCAATTGCAATGGGTCTCGGGGTTTCTGGTAGGCTTGATTACCATATAAATGCTGAATGAACACCTTCAAAGAATGGATGTTGTTTGATCCTCAGTGGCTCCTCTTGTGTACGCCAATCTGTGGCTCTGTGATGTTGTTCTTTCGCTAGAAGGTCTCTTATCGGATCCTGGTCCTGGGTATGGCTAAAAAACAGGGGTGGAGACCAGAAACTATGCAACGGTTCAAGGAAGATGCAACTGATGTCTATGCCTACCGAAAGCATGATCTTAAGAACAAAATAACAGACAATAAGCACACCTCCTCAGCAGATTTCCATCAGGAAGCACGATTTCCTCTCTCAGCTGAGTATACGAAAATAGACACAATTCTTACCCCCCCCCCCCCCCCCCTAGCCCAGAGCAGCAAGTTGGTCCAATAACCTCAATATCAGTTTAAAATCATCGTGGAAGTTATTGGTAGCCCACAACTTTGAGCTTATAAGGAGCTCACAGATCTACCTTTTCTATCCATGTGAGACGGGTTATTACATGTATCCTCACAACCAACCACTTCAAGAATCTGAATTGTATGAATACAGATACATGAAGATTAACACAATTCTCTGATGATATTCATATCGACGCTACACAGTCCTGACTGAAGCTAGAAAAGCCAACGGCATGCCCTGTTGATGGGGGTAGAACAATTTGTAGCTTCTTGATCATCTGGTTGAGCTTTTTTAGTTTATCCTCGTCACCCATCTCTATCAAATACTTCTCTAAAACACGAAAACATGTTTTACTTAAATGCCTCCCTCGCTCAAGAATCTGTAGAGAGCACTCAAAAGCTTCATCTACCCTCCCATGAGAGCACAAACTTCTCAATAGAACATCCATGGCATGACTGTGTGGACAATACCCGCTCTCAACAAGGTACCTCCAAAAACCCAAGGCCTCGTCAACCTTATGATTTTTGCAGAAATGTTGCATTAACATTACTACTGTTGGCATTTTGGGGACAAACTTTTTACTGATCATCTTGTGATAGAGCTCTAAAACACCATCAATTCCACTTGATTTCATTGATCCCAAGAACATTGTGTGAAATGTAACGTTATCATGAAGAAGATTATTCTCTTCCATTTCATCCATCAATCTAGTTGCAGACTTCATGTTACCTGATCGGATGAAAGCATTCATCAAGGCATTGTATGCACCAGAATCTGGCACTAAGTTTCTCTTTGGAATTTCATCAAATAGCTGTTGTGCGTTGGTTGTATTTTGAGCAATCCCTGCTCCATGGATCAAAGTGGTTATTGTCTGTAACGTGGGAAAGCAGTTCACTTGTTCCATTTCTTCAAGAAGCCTTAACCCATCCGCAAAACGACCTCTTTTGCAGTAAGAATCAATTATGATGTTAAAAGTTATGGTGTCGGGTTTAAAACCTCTCCGAATCATCTCATGGTAGAAAAGTTCAACAGAAGTAACATCACCAGATTCTTTAAATCCCAGGAGCAAAATATTCATTGTTTTGGTGGTGGGCGAGAATCGAGAATATAGCTTATTGAATACCGATTTAGCTTCCTTCATTTGCCTCTGTGTGCAGAATGCTCGAAGAAGAAGATTGAATTCGTCCGTACCAAATTGCTTCCCATCAGATAGCTTACCCTCCAACTTCTCAAATGCTTGTAGGGTTTCTTCAAAAGACTGGAACTTTGCAATTCTTGACAACATGATACTCATCGATTTCAGGCTAATCAAGGAAGGGTGTGTTTTCTGAATTTCTTCTATCAACTCCCAGGCCTTACTAAAATAGCGCATTCGGGTTAATATATGAAGTGTCTTTTCAAACGCATCTGAACTGGGACAGAATTCGGAACACTGGAGGGAGAATTTAAAGAATTCAAATGCTTTAAGGCCATTAGAGTGGGTTGCAAAGAGACGGCCAAGAACATTTTCCACAAAAGAAGTTGAAATGATAGCAGAAGGGATAACTTGGGCAAATGTAGGACGAATGGGTTGATCAGGAAAAGGATGGTCATTGATGATTTTGGTAATTCTCTTAATTTCAAACTCCAAATCTGAAGAATAAAATCGGAAACCAATGCCGACTAATAATGTAAGCTGTTGAGGACGTTGAAGAAGCTGACTGAATCTTCCTAGGAAGGGCATAATCTTAAACAAATCAAGAAATAATATCAGTAACTAGTTCAACAAATCAACAGCATATCAATAAAACTCAAATTGCCAGCTAAAAATTTAGCAAGCAGCCATAGATAAAAACTAAAACTCAGTAGAAAACCAAAGGCTTAATCAAACTAAAATGTTGCAACAGTCATTGTAGCCAGCATAAGGATGTTGCCTATGACTTACAGAATACCAATTAAATTTTCAAAAACAGTCGATTGAACAGCATAATGATGTGGTGATCGTAACTACTTCACATAATAACCATGAACTATGAATAAATTCAAGAATTAACAAAGATAAGTGCAGAATGGTGGTGTCGTGTTGAAAGGTGCATAAAAGACGATCATCAAAATCTCATGTTATGTATAGAGTTGGTTTTTAGTTAAATGTAGGCAAATCTTGTATGCACCACTTAAGCTGTTGAAATAAAGAAATCTAGGAGCTTCAATCCATCACAATCCACTTAACTAGAGAAAATGGTGTCATTGCTGACACTGAGAAGGGTAAAAAACTAACTAGAAAGGAACCCGAACCGGTAAAAGCTGCTCGAGCAACTTTAGTCCATCATGATCAAACGAATCAAAGTACATCGTAACAATCAGAAGTCGACAGGTTGAGTGATAATATCGCAGTTGAAGGAGTAAGTACCTGAAATTTCTCAACTGTCTGGTGAATGCCTTGAGTAGATTCGCAAGCAACCTCGTCGTACGTCTTTTTGAGCAAACAATTCTTCGGAACGTCTACCTTGTTCTTGTTATTTGGGGGTTAGGGCTTCCAAATTTTCAATACACGGGTTATTGGGTAAAAAAAGCCCCAATTCCTTGTAAAAATAATTTATTAATTTATTTTGATGTGTCATTTAGTAATGAACATTTTAATTAATGTTTCCATAAACAGCTTATACTAATATTAAATCGATAATAAAAAAAATTTGAAAAAATTAAACCATTCTAACTTATAATAAATTAATAAGAATTTCTGTAGAAAAACATAAGTTTTTTCAAATAATCAATCTCAAACAACAAATGATACTCCCTAACTTACACCATGTGTAATTATTCCGCCTTTTAAATAACACATTTACACTTGATATTGATAATAGAGATAAAAACTTTATCCATTTCATAATTAGGCAAAGGATCGTGTGAGAATGAAAATTATGATGAGAAACGTAAGAATGGATTTGAACTTTGCTTACTTTTAATTTCATGTTCATCCATGAATTACATTTTAGAAGAAAACCGATCTGATGCATCTCGATACACCTCGTTAGTGTTGACATTCAATTAGAATTGATTCAAGATAGGAAACTTTTCTTACGATTCTCACCGAAACTCAACCTTTCATAATTAAGGGTTGAATAGGAAAATGAGAAACTTACTTTCGAGAAAAATTAAGACAAACTTATTTTAGGACCGAGGCAATAATGGCAAAACTTGTTTGACCAGTTCGGCTTTGAAATTTGTCAATGAAAACTTACACGAGTTTGGTTTGGCTAATGATGTTTTGCATATACCGTTCAATAAAATACCATGCAGTTTGACACTTTCGCATAATTTCAGTTTGTATATTTTCATAAGGCAAATTGCATGAAAATGTAATATACTTTATCTTGATTCCTATTTTGAAAAACATACTTTCAAAACTTTCATATTAGTACCTGAGATGTAGAATCTCAAACATTTAAATACCTAATTTCTTTGTTTAACCATTTATCGGTTACTATGGTGACATGTTGTTGACCAGTTTGATTTGCTTTTGAATTACTCAAATGGCCGTATATTTTTTTTCCATATATTAATTTTTATACATTTTTTTAATTAATTAATGCAAACATCATAAACCATACAGAATCACATCTACGGTTTGGATTGTGATTTGGAAAAAATGATCAAACGGCTTACAGTTTTGTTACGAAACCAAGCACACTCTTGTATAAAATAGCATAGTTCAGTAATTCTCAAACTTCCCAAAAATTATGAGCACCGATTTTTCTTTATTCATATTTTACATGAAAATTGAAGTCGACCTTCCAAACTTCTAATAACATGCATAGCTGCAACTTCTCCCAATCAGAATAAGTTGAATCCAGTCATCCAGAGACACTCAAAAGGGATGTGGTGGAAATCTCTTCTCCGGGGGTTCAAATCTAGTTACCACCTGGGGTCCTTGTAGCCATGAAGGTTCACCTGGATGCGATGACACCAAACCATTCGTGGTTGCCCGAGGATTAGTTGATGCACATCAGCTGGCCCAGATACCCACGGTACCCAAAAAGAAGACTTCCATAAAGGAAAAAAAATGTACATTCCACATGACTAAATACATTGGCAAATACTCACCATCTTTTTACTACAAAGAACAAACATTTGGCTACAACACCCTTACCTTCTTTATATGTTGGCAACTTCAGATACACATGTCTGCAAAACCCTTTTCAAAACAAAATCTGCAGTTGACTTGAGCTACCCCAGCAACTCGAACTTGGTTGCAGCAACAATAATACAAAGGTCAAGCAAATATATTAAACATCCTTTTAACTTACCAGAGGGTCATTGACCAATGGTCCCAGGGTTCCCAGTAGAGCCCAGCCTCCCAGAAGGTTGGAGGTTCAAACCTCACCAAAGACAAAGAAGTGTGCGAGTATTTGTGGTATATAAATATTATACACTTCAAAAAACATCCTTCGACTTGTATATGTAAATGCCATGAACCAGTACGACCAATTAATGAGAATATCTACTTTCCTCATGCTTACTTTCCGAACCTGATGGAGCTAGCTCATTGGCCAAAGGAAAACTGTCAATCAATCTACAGACGACGTCGAATTAGCCTGGTTCTTGAACCATATTCACTAACTAAGCCTCCCAAGAGGGTCAAAACCGTACGACACTGGTAACTTCTCAAGAGTACAACTTATAGTGATAAAACAATAAATGCAAATCCATGAATGCTATGGGGTACCCAAAAAGCTACAAAAACCTGAAGTGATAACTAGGAATGAATCCGAACAAACTTTCACAAAAGCTAGTAATGTAAAGTCAATCTACATTGTCTTATAACCAAACATAAATAAATTACCCTACAAGGGTCCATAACAAAGAGGTCTAAATAGTAGTTATCGATCGTCAGCCTGTCATATAACCAAACATAAATAAACAGTCTATGGGTTTATCTAGAAAAAAAGCATAATGAAGAAACCACCAAATTCTTGGATCTCTTAGAGCTTCTTCACTTGCGAAAGTAGGAGCAGCTTCTACCTCTAGTGCTGAGGAAGCCTAAGATGCCAAAACTATATGATACTTATGGGGAACTCCTAGAGCAAGCACGAACGAATCACATTTCTCTATCTTGCATAAGGGTGGTACCGACTACTGCCACTATAGCCTCCTCCCCTGCCATATAGACTGCTTGCTCCTCCATAACTAGAACCTGGACCAGAATCATAACCCCCACCATAACCAGGACCCCCGTAGCCATACCCTTCACCTCTGCCATAACCCCCTAGACCACTTCCACCATAACCACCACCATAACCACCCCCATAGCTACCGAAGCGACTACCATAACCAAGAGATGGTTCACCACGGTAACCACCTAGGGTGCTATCTCCAAAATCTCCATAACCACCAAAATCACGACCACCGCTACCATACCCGCCATACCCACCAGGTCTTCCAAGACCTCCAGGTGTTCTATAAGAAGGAGGTCCATATCCACCATCAAAACCATCATATGAGCGGCCAAATCCACCAAATTCATCTGAGAAAGAACGTGCCCTAGACCTGCTACCAAATGAAGGAGGTGGGTGGTTTGGGGCTTTCTTTGGCTCTGCTTTCTTGATCTCCACCTACAACAAAGCAACTTAGTCAACCTAGTTTTAGCTGCGCACAAACTATAATTAGAGTCCTTCCTCGAAAACTTATACCTGTACCCTAAATTAGTCATATAACAAATTTAAGATGGTGTTATATAAGTGGTGCACTATTGTTAAATAAAAGCAGGAAAAAAAATACTGAATGAGCCCATGGTTGACAAAAAAAAAACACAACTGACAACTGCTTCCGAGTATAACCTTTTTTGTATTTGTATTTATAAGAATTTTCACTGAGAACCAAGTAACAAGACTCACCTGAGTACCATCCATATCAATCATGTTTCCATTGGATAACAATTCATCAACAACTTCCTCACTATCAAATATAACAAACCCAAACCCACGCGAACGGTCTGTGCCATGATCACGTATAATCTGGTGCTCCGCCACCTTCCCATGCTTGGAAAAGAAATTCTTGAGCTCATCTAAACAAATGAGGATCATCATATAAATATTTTACCATGTGTACAGATAAAGTTTCATACACTGCATGCTTGCATTGGATTAAAATGTATATTCATTGTGTACCTTCAGTAAGTGTGGTTGGAATACCTCCGACAAATATCTTCTTTGTTTTAAAATCCTTTGAATGAGCAGATCCTCTCGGGATTGTTCTCTTGATCTCAACCTAAGACAACCCAGAAGTTATCACAGCACCAGATGCAATATACGAATAAGTTGTTAATATAGTAACAACTTCACAAATTATCTTACCTCCTTCCCGTTAAAGACATGGGTATCCTCAATAACCTTGTCTACCACTGAAGGATCAGCATATGTGATGAATCCAAACCCCCTAGGTTGCCCAGTATGACGATCTTTCATTATCACAGAATCAGTAATATCTCCATACTTCGCAAAGTGGTTATTGAAAGCATCTATGGTTCATAAGAAACAAAAACAACTCAGTACAAGCATCCAACCAACAATATAAGTTTCTAAAGCTAAAAGTAATTCAATTGAGTTGCAGTGCCTGCTCCATCCCCCTATGAAAGGAACAAATCACTAACATTTAAGATTTCATGAACATACCATGTTCATTCCATGTTCAGAAATTATGCTGCAGGACATTTAATTAATTCCGGTGCACTAGATATAAAGTTCACATTCATGACATAAACCCCATGAAAAGCAAGTGCTTCATAGTCAGCTGTCAAGCAGACCAATCTAGAATATTTGTTACATCAAGGATTCCTTTGATTGTTGTAAATTATCCAACTTGGTCTGTTGATTTTCATGGTGAAGTGTTCCACATCAATGACATGGATTTCATGCAATCTCACAGGGAACCAAATGAAACTTTCGCCCTTGAACAATAATAATAATAATAAACAAAATGCAGATACAAAAATATTGGAAATTGGTAACCGCACATCAATTTCAATAGAAAGGCAAAAAAGAACAAAAAACCACGGACTACGAATTATTTGAATGAAAACCTAATTTTTCCAGAGTAAAAAAAGTAAAGATGATAACAACAACCCTTCATACATCTGCTCCAAATTGAAAACTAAACAATCAAAGCAACAAATACAGAAAGAGAGAGAAGTCTCACTGTATTGAGTATCTTTTGGTAAGCCTCCGATGAAGATTTTCCTGCAATCGTGAATCAAATTAAGATAACAAATTAAACGTCAAGATAAATAAAAAAACACGTAATCGAATCATGGAAAACGAACCCAAGGCTTGCACCATCGCCAGAGTGGGGATTATCACTCTTCGATTTCGATCCCATCGTCTGAATCTGGAAACCTTCTTAACAACGAATCAACAAAACCTAGGGTTTTCAATCGAAATTTAACGGGGGGAACTGTGTCGGTAAGAATAGGGAATTTGTTGTTGAAGGGATGTGGCGCATACGCATTTAAGGTGGAAGCGGAAATGTAAACGTATCGATATTGACAATTTGACCCCCTATCTAATTGCGATATTACACTTGAGGAACCATACTTTATAAAAACTACGTATTTGGTCCTAAAGTTATATTATATTAAGTTTTGACCCTAACTTCTAGTTTTCCTCCTTCCATATTGTACCATATGAAAAAGCGTCCTATGGTTTTTCAAGTTTTTCAAGAGAAAGTGGTTGTTTACTTGTTAATAGTTTTATTAAGAGTAAGTCTTTGAATCGTTAAAAAAATAAATTTTGTTTGGTAAAAAAAATGTTTTTTAATGATTCTAAAACCCTCTTAATGATTTTGTATCTTGGGTCCCCCTTAACCATTCAGCACCCTAATTTCATTCTGTACTATATGATAAATCATTTAATCATTCTGACAACTAAATCATTTATCAACTGTCAAACAGTCCCAAAGTATATAATATTGTGATTTCTTGTAAGGGGCGAAGGAATCCTTGGCGGATTTAAGGAGCCCATTTAGTTAAAATTAAAAAACCAATGAATTTTAATTTAAAATAATAGTAAATTGTCGATATTTATTACCAATATTAAAAATCAAATATATTTATAATTTAATAATAAATATATACTTATTTATAAACAAAATATATACATATATTAAATAACATACAAAATTAGTCGGTTTCGGATTGAAGACGGGTAATGTCATCCATGATCCTGCTTCAGGTATGAAAACAACTCCCCATCCCCATCTCGTTATCCGTCAAACTTGGAATCCCCGCCTCGTTAAGGTCGGGTACTCGTTCCAACATGTAAAATTTTCATCTCTATTACTATGAATCCAGGTGTCGTCAAAGCCATTGTAGATTCACATGCAGTGACTCTACACTGTTTATAGTCATTTCAGGATTAATCGATGCATATGAACTGACCTAAAAACCCACAGTTACCTGAAACAAAGTATTGTTTTTGTATGGTTAAAATAAAAATAAAAAATTATGTGAAATGTGGGCTCATTTTGCAATGACGTGGCATTCTCCATGCTTACCTGTATCATCACCACACCATGCATGGCTATGGCCGCACAACACCATCACCGTCAGTTTTCCCAAATTCCCATCTCTATTGTCACCTTCATCGTCCATTCCTTCTATAAATCAATCTGATTCCCCAAAAAAACGACTCAATCTCCTCCACCAAATTCTCCGATCATCCCAAAAAATGTTCCGACCAACCACCGCCACCATCAAAACCGACCCACCACCGGAAATCCACACCAAACTCCGACCACCACACGAAACCGACATGGAAACTTCCTCCCTCACCGCCGACCCTCAGGTACGTCTCGCGCTCTACATCGCAATGGCCCACGCCGGCGTCGCGTTCGCCATTTTTGTTCTTTATGGTTTAAGTAAAGTTCTCGATATTTATCTCCGGCCATTGTTATGGGCCGTTATCTGTTCAATCCCTCTTCGTGGAATCCAACAAACCCTAGTTTCGTTTTGGTCGGAGCCCTTGAAATCCGGTCTAACCGACACCATTCTCGCCGTACCCACCTGCACATTTAGGGCTTTCATCAGCACCATTGTTGAGATCACCGAGCTTTTCTTGAAAATAATCGGCCATCCAAGAAGAAGATTTCCTCAACGGAGAAGACGAAGTGGGTTTTCGATGGTGTTACGTAGATTAGTTTCTTTATGGATTTTTGTTATGGCGTATGAACAATTTGGTGGTCTTGGTGCTACCTCTTTGTTGATTTTAGGGTTTATGTTTACATCTAGTAATATGGGTTGCACCATGTCTGTTGTTGAGACTTTTAGAAGCTACAGTTTTAAGAGATCTCCATATAGTTCATTTCTAACAAGAGGGATCTTGAAAAGATTGGAAACCATTGTTGCAATTGGGTTGATTATGGGGATGATTGTGGGTACATTGCTTATAAGTTTGTTCTTTTCTTATAAGATTGGAGTTGAGGGTAGAGATGCGGTTTATTCGATCAAGTTACGAGTCGAAGAGAGCAATTACGCTGAGAAAATGGGGGTGAAACAATGGATGGCGGAGAATAACGTGAGCGAAATGGTGGCGAATTACACGAATCAGTTTTACGGGACTGTTTACGAACATATCGATAGTTTAGCGGTGCAGTATAACATGACGGAGATCGTTGAGGAAATGAAACATATAATGGCGGAACGATCGACGAATTCTTCGGCGCCTGCGACTGAGTTGGAAGCCCCGAATCCGTTTGCCGAAAAGATTTTGAGCTTGAGAAGAAGGGTGACAAATCAAGAATGGTCGGAGATTTATCCGGAGGTTAACGCTTTGTTTAAAGAAGTGTTGATTAGTCGGGAGGATATAACCGAAAAGGCGAAAGCGATGGCTTTTCAAGGAAAAGATGTGATTCACCGAGTGTTAGAGAGCGGTCACTCGATCTTGGGTGGTAGTACGCGGTTGATTCTTGTGATACTCGAATCGATTTTAACTGGAGCCGCGGGTTTGTTTAGTTTTCTTTCGCAATCGATGGTTTTCATATGGGTTTTGTACGCTCTTATAACATCACATTCGAGTGGGGTGACGGAACAGGTTATGTGTATGATTCCAATATCGAAATATGCTCGAACACGATGTGTTGAAGTGCTCGATAAAGCGATTTCCGGGATTCTTTTGGCGACGGTCGAGATTTCTTTCTTTCAGGGTTGTTTGACTTGCCTTTTACTCAGATTATTCAACATACATTTTTTGTATATGTCGACTTCAATGGCGATGGTTAGCCCGTTCTTCCCGCTGCTGCTGTATTATTTTGCAACGATTCCGGCAGTGTTGCAGTTGGTGCTCGAAGGGCGATACTTGGTAGCGATTTGCTTGCCGATTATCCATGTTCTACTAATTGACTATGGTGTTAGTGAGATTCTAGAGGCGATACCTGGCCACAATCCGTATCTCACCGGGCTTAGTATCTTTGGTGGAGCGGCATTGTTTCCGAATGCACTTGAGGTAAATAACATTAAGTATCATGAAAATTTGTGGAACCCCGTTAGATCGAGTACTTCAAAAGAGAAGGGAGATCTCAATATATATTGAGAAGAAATGATTCATGTTTAGCTGATGTGGGACTCTTTAACACTCCCCATCCAACGTCGCAGAGGTTAGACGGGCATAGAATACCCCAAAGTGTAGATTGCGGGCTAAATGATTATAGATTTTCCTAAAGTCGTAGACCTTGGATCTGATACCATGTGAGAGTATGAAGAACTCCGTTAATGGGTCCTAGTTAATGGGTCCTACTTATTCTCAAGTGGCATTAGAGCAAATCTACCAATCTAGGAATTTGACGCTTTGGGGCAGTCTGTACTCGTCTAGCTCGCTTTCTAGTACAATTTGGACCCAATTAGCCTCTATTGGGAGGGGTGTGTAACATCATTGACTTGAACCAATTTTCTTGGAATCTTTTTTTTTTGCTCAAGGGCCATTTTGAGGTTCTACATATCCTGAACAATATACATAGTTTCATGATGATGAACTAATGGCTTTTTTTGCGGTTTATATGAACGTGTAGGGAGCGATAATGGGGCCGCTGATATTAACGGTCGTGATTGCTCTGAAGGATTTGTATGTGGAATTTGTTTTGGATGAACCAAAGGAAATCAAAACGGCATAGGATCAGAGTTGCATCTGAAGGCTTGTAAGATATTCGATAAGCCACGAACGTTTTGCAGCAAGAGTATGAAGAAACCGAATGTATGTGTATGTACGTATACGGCGTTTAAAAGCATTGTTACTTGATGTTGTTTCTTGAAATATATAGATTCAGATGGTGTAAGGTTGATTTTTGTGCATGTGTAGAGGTTACTTGGGTTCCAACTTTTATAAAAATACATGATAACTGTACCAAATAAGGTTCAGGGGCTTATTAACCTCTTGTGCACATTATCTATTTGTATAGATTGGAAAGGTTTTTGTTTGAGATAGAGTTTTTTCATTAATGGAAGAAGTATGTTTTTAATTGGGAGGGGCATATTTAAAAGAAAAAGCTAGGCTTTTTACATAAAGCTCCCTCGTTGAATAATAAGTCATTTTCTATATCATTAAGTCATTGTCAAACAATGATATATAATTGATTGAATAAGTTGTAAGTGGCCTTCGGTGTACCAAATACAATGTTAAAGAACTATTGTGATGCGTTCTGTTTTGGAAAAGCAAATAGAAAGACCCAAGCTTTTTAGTCTTCTTGGGTCTTTCATTCGGGCCCTATTGGGGAACCTTGTCCCGTGGGCTAATGCGTATAAGCTTGGGTACCAATCCAGTCCATGTGCCGGCTTGGCATCTGGACTGGGATTTATCATAGAAGTGGGTGTTTTCATAAGGAAGCCGTCGAAGGTTTTCCACAATTTGAGATTTGGCCGTATAAGTTCTCTAAAAGGAGTATTAAGATCCACATTCTACACAGAAAAAGCGCAAGTGAAAGACCTTCCATGAGATAGAATGGGAATTTCAACCGTGAGTTCCTGAATGATTCCCAGTCTTTCTCTACTGTCAACTCGACGTCGTCGTCACCTTCAAGATAAGGGTTGAAAAAGAGCCCGACCAGGCTTCGAGCTCACCAGGGCAGGCTTTTTTGAGCCATGCAAGGGCCAAGCCTGGTCTGAGTTTCGGGCTAGTTATTTTGTGCATCTCTACCTATGTACATGTAATCATGCATTTCTTTCATTCACATTAGTCATTTAATTGGAAAGTCATATGATAATAGATCATCCCAGATGAGGCTACCATCATTACACAAATTGGTAACTTAAAAGCACATAACATAGCATTAATACAATGACACCCAACTTAAGAATTTGTACAGAAACAAGATGTTCTAAAGAAAGCAAGAAAAACATTTATAGAAACAGTGTTTTGGATTCTGCTTCCCATTGGCACTTTGTAGACAAACAAAGTGGAGTTACTTCATGTATTTTTGAAGAAATTTCCGATGGAAGTCACTACGAATAGTGTCATTGATAAAGCGCTTTTGAGGTTTGTTTTCTCCACGAGCCTGGTTCTTGAAAACGACATCATCATCCCACCTGAAATGGTTAACTTCAGAATCAATGAAACGGAGCAAATGGAATTTCCAAAAAAGAAATTTACAGAAACAGATTGCAACCAACCTTCGTTTAACATTGAAGGACGTTGTTGCATTATTAAGCAACGGGTTCCCTCTTATCAATTCCGCTTCTTTAAGTTTAAGCTCCTCTTCTTGTTCTTCACGTTCCTGAACAAAACCAGATTCATGTTCATACACTCGATCCGTCCCAAAATAAGCATCCCAAATAGAAATGGCATACCGTTTTAGTCATGCATGATTATTACACTTTTTGGTTAACCAAATGACAGCTTTACCCTTAATTTATTTATCGTATCTAACTCTTAAATATTTGTATAGTAACTGATGGTAGATTTGGAAATTTGGTCTCTTTCTGAAATTGGTCACTCCCTCCGTTCCAAATTAGTATCCATAGTAGAAATGGCAAGGAGTCTTAGACATGCATGATTATTACATGTTTTAATCAACCAAATGAAACTTTACCCTTAATTAATTTATTCATCTTATCAACTCTTAAATATTTGTTTAGTAATCAAGGGTAGATTTGGAAATTTGGTCACTTTCTGAAATTGGTTCCGTCCCAAAATAAATGTCCACAATGAAAATGACACACAATTTTAAGAATGTGCAATTATTACCCTTCTAAATTAACTATATGACACTTTTACCCTTGAAAACATACTTTTGAAAGCTGACACTTATTTTGGCAAAAACTAAAATAGTAACATGGGCATTTAATTTGGGACGGAGGGAGTAAGAAGCAAGGGGCAAATAAAATGAGAACCAGGAAAAAGTTGAGAACCAGTTTCACATGTGAAACATACAGTGTCGTTTCATATATGAAATAGAATTGTTTCAATATGTGAAACAATCCTAGCCTAAAATGGTCCTTATGGTTCACAACATTTTTTCCCTAAGAAACAAAATATAAGATTCTCCGGTTAACAATCCATTACTAAATACTAAAAAGACATAAAATATCAGCAAAACAACACAGAAAGAAAGCATTATCAGGTAATGTCTGAAACCTGCTAAAAAGAACAAAAGTACACGGGTGCGACATACTAGCACTGATGCATTGGATCCCATCAGAATTCTGCACTTAAGTTAAGAACAAAAATATATAGATTACGCATATAGTAAAGAGGTAACTCACTTTGCGCAGTTTCTCTTCTGCTCTTTCCTTCTTTATTTGTTCAAGCTCTGCTAGAAGTGCTTCAGTGTCATCCTCATCATCATCATCATCATCACTAACCATGAAGTGTGAAAGGTGAGTAATATTGCAAAAGTCGGGAATCTGATACCAGAAGATGGTCTTCGTGCAGTAAAAACAACAAAAGGAAAAAAAGAGAAGAACCTATACAGCACCAGTTCAGACAACTTTAAGTCGTCGCCTTTTGGAAGCCATACTGTTTGAAGTACATTTCAGCCATGTTGTTTGAGCTCCGTTCCATAGATGCTACCTTTTTTTCAATACTATGGTATCTAACCCTTTGGCCCAAGTAGTGCAAAGGTCCATGCAAACTACCCTCTCCATGTGGCATGGGCAAGCTTAAAACCAAACCAAACCTAACATTCCAGTATATCCCACCCAATGGTACCATGAGACGGGCTGTTTAAAAAGAAATCCAGCTTACAAAAGAGAAAGGGGCTATTTGATTCGTTTTCCATTAAGTCATGTAGGGATAAATGTATGTGTGGATTAATCTGTATATTGACCAAGAAATTTTGTTTGGAAGGGTTTTCTAGTAAATGGAAGGAGAATGTTATACAATGGTTTGTTGGGGGAAGGGGGGAGGGGGCAGGTTTGGTAAAAACTTGGCTTTCTGCATACAGCTCCCCCTAGAAGCTTACCGAATAAGTCAATTTCTATATCAGTAAGTCACTACCAAACAGTCATATATAGCTACCGAATAAGATGAGTCCCATTAAGCTGCTAACAAACAGGTCCAAAGAAACATATCTAAAAAGCACATTGAAAGAGAAAGACCACATAAAGCAACAAAATTACCAAGGAAGGTAAATAGCATAACAAGATAAAGAGTATACTAGGAACAGAGGACCAAGGAAACTCCCTACCTCAACACAAGAAACCAC